GCTGAGCACCTACAGATAATGCAGATGAAGAGGAGAAGGAGGAATACTACAGACAACTGCAATCAACACTGGACAAGACACCACCTCAGTTGGCGATATCAAAATTCTAATGGGTGAGGTGACATGAATGCCAAACTGGGAGCACACAACACAGGAAGAGAACTAACCACTGGTCGAGAAGCGCTAGGTGAGGTGATGAACGAGAATGGAGAATTATTTGCAGAATTCTGCGCATTCAACGATTTGGTGATTGGAGGCGAGGCAGTGTGTTCAAGCACAAGGATGTCCACAAAGCGACATGGATTTCACCAGACAGACACACTAGAAATCAAATCGACTTTATCTCAATCTCAAGAAAATGGAGACGCAGACTACTGAACACAAGGTCAAGAAGAGGAGCAGATGTAGGTTCACATCACTCACTATCTAGTGCAAGGACCTTACCTTCCAAATCAAGTTAGAAGCCTTCAAGGAAGCTGGTGATAGACCGCAGTTCAATTACAACACTCGAAAACTGAAGGACGGAACTACAAAGTTAAACTTCACGGCAGCCAGCAATCAAGACAAAATGGGAGATATCGAGGAACATCCCCAAAGAAACCTGTGTTGAAGAACACCGGAAGTCTTTGAAAGAGATGTGTAGAGAAACCTGCACAGCCGTATTAGGAAGGGAGAAGAAAGAAGACAGGGAATGGATCTCGACGGATACATGGAAGCTGAGAGAGCAGGGAGAGGAGGATGGTGAAGCAGATGAACCAGTGCAAGGATGCACAACGACAAGAGGAACTGAGCACAATGTATAAAACACTGGACAAAGAAGTGAAGAATAGTGCATGGAAAGACAAACACACTTCTACGAAACACTGGCAAGTGAAGCAGAACAGGCTGCAGGTAGCAGACACAGAGACCTGACAACATTGTATCAAATAACCAGGTTATTATCTGGGAAGAGATCAACGCAGACGAAACTAATAAAAGATGAAGAAAGAAATTTAATCACGAAAGAAGAGAAACAAAGGAAACAATGGGCTGACTACTTCAAGAAGCTCTTGAATCGACCACCACCTGCACTTCATCCAGAAATACCACCTACAGCCCAGCCACAGAACTACAAGTGAACATAAATCCTCCAACAAAAATGGAAGTCTTGAATGCTATAGAGCTACTGAAATGTGGGAAAGAAGCAGGACCAGATGGGATCCTACCAGAAGCACTGAGAGCAGACGCAGAGACAACAGCGGACATGCTCACACCACACCACTATTGCAGAAGGTGTGGAAGGAAGAGAAGGTATCTGCCCATTGATTGGAAGAAGGGTTACCTTGTCAAACTGCCGAAGAAGGGAGACCTCAGTGTTTGCAAGAACTGGCGCGGAATCACTCTCCTGTCCACCGAAAGCAAGCAAAATATTAGGCCGCATCATCCTGGAGAGGCTAAAGGATGCACTGGATTCAAAACCACGACCGGAACAGGCTGGCAGGCTTCAGGAAGTACAAATCATATGTGGACCAAATTGCAACGCTTCATATCATCATAGAACAGAGTACAGAATGGCAGTCAACTCTACACCTCAACTTCATCCACTTTGAGAACGCCTTCGACAGTGTCGACCGAGAGGTAATTTGGAAACTGCTTCAATACTACGGAATACCACAAACCTTTATCAGCCTCATTCAACAACTATATGAAGATGCCACATGCCAGCCAAGTAATTCACAATAGAAAGCTCAGTGATGCTTTTGAAGTGAATACAGGAGTGAAACAAGGTTGCCTACTATCCCCCATAATATTCCTGATTGTGGTCGACTGGACTGGATCATGCAGCAAACAGTGAGGAGCTGGAGAAGAGGGGGATACGCTGGCTGGACTGCGGAAAAGAACCTAGGAGATCTGGATTTCGCCGATGACTTGTGTCTGATGTCACACAAACTTAAAGATCCACAGGCGACAACTAACAAGTTGATAGAAGAGGCAGCGAAGATGGGACTTCAGGTGAATATAGAGGTGATGAAGATACCGCACCAACAACTCCAACAACAACAACAAACTCCAATCACCATGAACGGGAGGAACTTAAAGGAATTAACCTCCTTCACCTATCTAGAAAGCACTGTTTCGACTACAGGTGGCACAGATGAGGATGTCAAAGTCAGCCAGGATCGGAAAGACAGCAAGACAGGCTTTCATTAGCCTGAAACCAGTGTTGAGATCTTCTGCACTCCACTCAGTATGTGTAACAAGATCCGGATGTTCAACACCGATTCAGTCAAGTCAGTGCTTCTGTATGGTTCAGAGACTTGGTGCGTCACGAAAGGGATTTCCAGTAAACTACAGACATTCATCAACAACTGCTTACGCTCACTACTGAAGATCAGATGGCCAGAATGATAAGAATGAGCAACAAGGAGCTCTGGGAACGAACCAACCAAGAACCTATCACCCAACAAATATGCAGGAGGAAGTGGAGATGGATTGGGCATACACTGAGGAGGCCGACTGGGGACATCCCGCGTCAGGCCAGTTCCTCGAATGGAATCCCCATGGGGAACGACGAGTTGGGTGTCCCAGCTGAGGGTGACATGGAGGAGATGGTATGAGGAGGAAATGAGAGCTTCTGGGCTGTCTTGGAGCCAGGTTGAAAAGGTTTCAGAGAACAGAGTTCACTGGAGACGTGCTACTGAAGCCCTATGTTCCATTAGGAACCCAAGGGACTAATAATAATCCTTATTAGATTGTTGTTTTCGGGTTGCAAACGTTTTTAGACGCCAAGAACTCGTAATAAACCACTCCTATTTTTTGTGTTTTGATGACTTATCGTAGATATTTCGTTGGTAGCACAAGTGTAATTATGGACATTTCCTTTTTTCTAAGCTGTATATCTTCTCTAAATTGCTTAATTAAACTTTATTACTTGGCCAGTCGAAATGATGGTTATTCAAATAGTGAACTTAATTGAAAAACCCTATTTTAAATCATTTACCAAACGTATCACATAGTGGTAGAGAACTAATTAGTGGGTTACGATTCATACACAGTGTATTTTCCATTTTCATATCAAGATAACTACATAACGTTGAGACAAGCTTAATAAGGTACTAATTCTCTGGCCTTCTTTGTGATGTAGATAGCAGGATTCTTCAAATATCTGGAACAGGTACTAGGATGTTCTAGCAGTGCATATTTGGTTGATTCAATAAAGAAAGATCCCGTTATCAATCTGTCTCTGTCTCAATCTATACCATCCTAATGTGTGCGTGTGTGTAATGGTATGCATGGCTATTGTCGAGCTTTTCCCTAGACTCCTTATCTAAGTGGGAGATACCAATTTTCGTTGAAATAGATACTTGTGCTTGGACAACATAACTGACCCCAGTCGACTACTTTGACCTAGAAATTATTCCTACGGAATCGGCAAGCTAAATTATTTTACGCAGATGAATTAGTACCATCCTTCAATCTAAAGAGCTTGTTTATTGTTTATTGATTCGATATCAAATATGAGAAACATGAACAACTCAATACCAGTTCCAGACATATGGGAAATCATTCTATCTACATCACAAAGAGGGTGAACGTGGAGAGGACACAGGTAATGAAGATGCCCAACCAACAACAGCATCAACAACAAGCACCATTCACCATCAATGGAAGAAATCTTAACGAAGTTGCCTCTTTCACCTACACATATATAGGCAGCATCGTCTCAACTACAGGCGACACTGACACAGATAAGGACGTCAAAACCACGATTGGAAAGACATCAAGACAAGCCTTCATTAATCTGAAACTAATCAGTGTCGAGATCTACTCCACTTCACTGCATCCCACTCAGCATAAAGCGTGAACAACAATAAGATTTTCAACACTAATTCAGTCAAGTGAGTCAGTGCTTCTATGTGATGGTTGAAAGACTTGGCGCCTTACGAAGAGCATTTCCAACAAACTACAGACATACATCACATGAACAGCTTTCGCCTAGGCTCACTCGATAGTGAAGATGGAGATCAGATGTCATGAATAATAAGGATAAGCAAGGAGAAATTCTGGCTGGCTGGCTCCAGAAGAAACTGGAGATAGACTGGATATACATTGGGAAGACGGATTGGTGACATCACGCGCCACGTCAGGCCGTCGAGTGGAACCGAGAGGGGAAACGACGAGTTGGGCATCCGAGACGAGGGTGACATGGAGGAGATCGTGTGAGGAAGAAATGAAAGCTTGTGGGCAGTGATGGTGCCAGGTATAGAAGACTATGGAGAAGAGAGTGCAGTGGTGACGTGCTACTGAAGCCATATGTTTCACTAATAACCCGGAGGTGAATGATTATCAAAAACATTTCTTGCTTATGTTCCTCGTCTCCTAATTCAGAACTACCGAGTGGATGATGACCCTGTGTGCTTCTCCTAATAATGTTCTACTTAATGCTACTTACATGTATTCATGTGTGTATATATATATATATATATATATATATATATATATATACCACAACAGAACGGAAAAAAAGTTGGGCGAAATCGTACAATTGACTTTAGTTGTTAAATACTGGCGCATAGATTCCCGTTTCTTAATCTCATTGATGAGCTCAGTGTAAAACTCAAATGAGTCTTCATCATCTATGTGACAATCCAAGTACCAATCGAAAAGCAAGTGTAGTCTCTAGCATCCTCTCGAGACGACAAAGTACTATGGTTTAAAATGAATAATGGGGGGTGCGTATGGATGTTTGATAACCCGTGTCTTAGAAGCAGCGACCTAATGGAATTACAGAGTGATTCGTGCACCACGGAATAAACTAAACTTCACCCACAGCCTACTACGAAATTTCTGATAAAACTTTTGAATACCATATACTAGCTGATGATTGAAAGTGAAATACAAGTCTGGGTGAGGGTGGGATTCGGAGGAGATATCTACAGGTTGCCAGAACGGTGCTCTACCAACTAGGCGATGATATCCAACTGTTAACCACATCTTAATTTCACTTCAAGTATATAATCTGCTAATCTACTACAAAAATTTATCGAAATTAGAAACGTGAATGCTTATCAGCTGATTCAGCAAATCAACAATGAAGATCATATTAACCAGAATTATTATTATTCCTGTGTACACTTTTTTCTTCAATATGTTTTATGAGAATCATAATATAATCTCCACATATCAGCTGCAAAATGAAATGAACTTACATTCCACTCATGATTTGATTGTACTGAATTAATCAAAGGTTCCCATAATTCATTTACCAAGTCAAATGTGTATTGAATGAAATTTTCATCTAAAAAGAATACATAATTCAATGAAATAATTGAATATGTACTTTTCATCATGGATTGACATTATGCTAGAGAATCATTAAAGGAGGGAGAAGGGGGTGATGAATACATTTTACGCCCTAGTTTAATACTCTTCAGCACTGCGCATCCCAAAACCCTATAAGAGATAGAGTCTATGACGGTTAGATTTCACAGAAAGTATCCTAGTAACCAATCATTGGATTGGGATACATTTAGTCAACATTTCTCTGTTTCTATCAATTTGCTATAGAATTTGATTATTAATCATTGTCATCAATACCCACCAGGTATCTTACTTACTCTTGATTTAATTGATACTGTAGGTTGCGATTTCGCATCGGAGCTTTTTATGAAATACACCTGGAAGAAAGTCATTAATCAATATTGATTAATAATTCTATTGGTGGTTTGTAGCTGTCGAGGATGAGCACTTAAGGGGAGTTCCAAGCTAGGACGAAAACCGCTATCCAATGCTTTCATATTTTCAGTGTTTCTTCAACTGATATCAGTCCATGATGAAAACTACTTTGAAACCAATTAATCTCTACAATCTAACGGTTGAATGAAATACAGTAAATGATTTCATCACAGAATAGATATAAAATATAAAAACACGTAAATTTTGAATATATTCCATATGGAGTCGAGGAAATGGATGTGTAAGTCATACAGTGAACACCTCAACCTTAAACAGTTTAGATGTATTCTACTTCTTTATGTGATTTCAGTCAACTACTGTCACACGTCTCCTTGTCATTTAGTTCATCTTGCTCCATTGTAGTCGATTGCCTTTTCGATTAGGCTTTGTCTTAATAATGAAGAGAATAGCTACAATCTAATACATTGACAACAAGACTACATAGATACTAAAACTATTTCTGGGATAATGGGTAGGTAGACTGGTGTGAATTCGATGCATGAACAACAACAAAATCATATACACAATAAACTACTTACAACTTTCAGCTTTGGTTATCTTTTCAATCATTTTGTAAGAAGATACCAGATTGAAATTTTGCTGTACAAAGTTTAAAATACACAACGAGTAATAAAAATCTTAATTTAAAAAAACATACCTTTTTAGATTTTTGAGGGGGTTGTGGAGATTTGGAATTTTAATTTAATTGAACTAGTGCTCGTTGGTGACTAGCTTCGAGAAGTATTCCCGAAGTTCCAATGACAAGTCGTGACCGGTGGAGTCAAGCCTGATGGCCGTGAGGACAAATACTCAACGATGACATTGGGTGGCGGTTTGCGCTATATCGTGAGCTAACAGAAGTTGGAAATATGGAGCATTGGATTCTGACCCAGTGGCTCAATGGTAACGCGCTGGTCGCGGAACCCGAAGGTCACGGGTTCGATCCCTGCTGGTGGGGTCGTGGGTGCGCACTGCTGAGGAGTCCCATACTAGGACGAAACAGCTGTCCAGTGCTCTCAGGTTTCCTTTGTTCCTCCAACTGATGTCAGTCTTCGATGAATAACAACTTGAAATACCTTTTTCAGGGTGAATATTCATGCTAGTGAAACGAAAAGTATTGGCATGTGAATAAGGCATGTAATGTCCTGACTGGTATGGTGTTACAGTGTAAATAAAACATTTTTTTATCCAAGAAGTAACATACAGACATACATACACACACATACACAGTCTTTCTTTTTCCAGGATTCTCTACAGAAGTGTAATCACAAGATATTCTATTATTTCCAAGTATGGAAGACCTAAGCAGTATGCACCCACGATCCAAAAAGCCAATGTCAACTAAAGACCTTGGTGCATAGTCGCGCTATATCACAAATCGACAGAATTAGAAGACTGTGGACCATTGAACTCCAACTCGGTGGTTGAATGGTTAACGTGTTCGCCGTAAACCTGAAGACCCTGAGTTCGATCCGTAGCTGGGGTTGTGGAGTGCACATTTCTCAGTTACTCACTCAATTAAAAATAAGGAATTTCGAAATCTTACAAGTAGACTAATATATACACTAATTATGATGTAATTTGACTCATGGTGGCTAGCAGTGGAATCCAGGATGCGCGTTTTGTTCTCGTTGGGACTTGTCAGCTGGATATCCTTGTATCCATTGAGTAAAAGTGTTCCTGCTGACAGGTGACCTCAGCATCCCGAACTTTAAAGCCAGATCACCATTTGGTGGCCTATTTAGTCAATAGGCCACCACTTCTGCAACAGGCATCTTTCATTATTTACTGATGCATGCAATTTCTTAATAGTAATCATACTGAACCCAATTGGTCTATCACTCTTCGTATACAGGGCTCTGATGAGATGACCATAACTAATCTGGACTTGAATTATTTCAAGTTTTCGTGTTTACCAAATAATAAATGATTCAGTATACAGGTTTGTGAGGATTTATTGGATTCTGAACCAGTGGCTCAATGGCCAAGTGCTTGCCACAAAACTCCAAAGTCCCGGATTCGATCCCCAAAAAGGTCATGCATGAGCAATGTCGAGAAGTCCAATGCTCCCAGGTATTCGATAGATTTCAAATGATGTCAACCCATGATAAATACCACTTTGAAAAAGAGTTGAGTTATTGATATACAAGATCGAAGTTTTTGCAAAAGAATTAGATGCATCTCAGTTACACATTACTTTACTATATTATTATTTGTCCTTTAGGTTCCTGGTAGAACATAGGGTTTCAGTGGCACGTCACCACTGACTCTCTTCTCCATAGTCTTCTATACCTCGCACCATCACTGCCCACAAGCTTTCATTTCCTCCTCACACGATCTCCTCCATGTCACCCTCGCCTTGGATGCCCAACTCGTCGTTTCCCCTCTCGGTTCCACTCGACGGCCTGACGTGGCGCGTGATGTCACCAATCCGTCTTCCCAATGTATATCCAGTCTATCTCCAGTTTCTTCTGGAGCCAGCCAGCCAGCCAGCCAGCCAGATTTTCTCCTTGCTTATCCTTATTATTCATGACATGTGATCTCCATCTTCACTATCGAGTGAGCCTAGGCGAAAGCTGTTCATGTGATGTATGTCTGTAGTTTGTTGGAAATGCTCTTCGTAAGGCGCCAAGTCTCTCAACCATCACATAGAAGCACTGACTCACTTGACTGAATTAGTGTTGAAAATCTTATTGTTGTTCACGCTTTATGCTGAGTGGGATGCAGTGAAGTGGAGTAGATCTCGACACTGATTAGTTTCAGATTAATGAAGGCTTGTCTTGATGTCTTTCCAATCGTGGTTTTGACGTCCTTATCTGTGTCAGTGTCGCCTGTAGTTGAGACGATGCTGCCTATATATGTGTAGGTGAAAGAGGCAACTTCGTTAGATTTCTTCCATTGATGGTGCATGGTGCTTGTTGTTGATGCTGTTGTTGGTTGAGCATCTTCATTACCTGTGTCCTCTCTACGTTTATCTGAAGGAAGTTCCGTCTTCGCTGCCCAGTCTCACCTCTCCTACCAACTTGTTAGTTTTTGCCTGTAGATTTTGGATTTTGTGCAACAGGACATTAGAAATAAAGCGTCATCGGTGGCAAGATCCAAATTTTCTAGGGTCTTTTCATCGGTCCGGCCAGCGTATACCAATCTTCTCTCTCCTCATGGTTTGCTGCATGATCTAGTTCACCACAATCAGGAATATCATGGGTGATAGATAGTAAGCAGCCTTGTCTTATTCCTGTCTCCTGTCTTCATTTCGAAGGCGTCACTGGCTTTCGGTTGCGAATCACTCGGCAGGTGGCGTCTTCATATAGTTGTTGAATCAGGTTGATAAAAGTTTGTGGTAATAAAACCGTAGTGATGAAACGGTTATCCAATAACTTCTCGGTCAATTCTGTCGAAGGCTTTTTCGAAATCGATGAATTCGAGGTAGAGAGTTGACTGCCGTTGTATGCTCTGTACTATGATGGTGCGCAGCGTTGCAATTTCATCCGCACATGATTTGTTCTCACTGAAGCCAACCAACCAGCCTGTTCCCGTCGTAATTTTGAATCCAGAGCACGTTTTAATCTCTCAAGTACAATGTGGCATAATATTTTCCTTTGGGTGGACAGGAGCATGATTCCGCGCCAGTTCTTGCAAAGACTTAGGTCGCCCTTCTTTGGGAGTCTGCTGATAAGGTAGCCATTGTTCCAACCAACTGGCACGTATCTTTCCTTCCTTCGAAATCTTCTGCAATACTGGTGTGAGCATTTCCGCTGGTGTCTGTTAGTCTGTTCTCAGTGCTTCTGGAGGAATTCCATCTGGTCCTGCTACTTACCCGGATTTCTGCAAATTGGTGGGGTTCAGCACTTCATTTCGGCTTTTATCGGAGGGCTGGTGTACACTGGTAGCTCTCTCTGGCTGGGATCTTAGTGGTATTTCTGGATTAGTTGCAGGTGGTGGTCGATTCAAGAATTTTTTGAAGTGGTCACCCCATCGTTTCCTTTGTTTCTCCTATTGGTTAACTAGGTTTCCTTCACTATCTTTCATTGGCTTAATCTGGGTTGATCTCTTCCCAGATAGTTTGGTTATTTGATATAGTGTTGTCAGGTCTCTCCTACCAGCAGCCGTTTTGCTTCACTTGCCAATGTGTCTTATAGGTGCGTTTTGTCTTTCCACGCAATCCTTTTCACTTCCTTGTCCAGTGTATTGTTTTATAGGTTGCGTTCGGTTCCTCTTATCGCTATTCATCCTTGCGTTACACTGCACTGCACTACACTGTTTCATCTTCTGCTCCACCATCTTCCTCTCCCTGCTCTATCAGCTTCCATGTGTCTGTCGAGATTCATTCCTTGTCCTTCGTCGTCGTCGTCTTCTTCTTTTTCTTTCATGATTCGGTTATACAGGTTTCTTTCCACATAGGTTTCAAAGAGTTCCAGTGTTCTTCCACTTTCGATGATTTGTGGATGTGTTGCTCAACGTCGTCTCCTATTTTGTTGTGATGGCTGACCACGTGAAGATGTTGTTTGTAGTTTCGTCCTTCAGTTCAGTTCAGTTTGTTCAGTTGGTGTTGTTGGTGTTGGTGTTGAACTTGAACTGTGGTCTGTCATCACCAGGTTGTTTGAAGGCTTTGAAGTTGATTTTGAAGGTGAGGCTACATGTGCTCCCCTTGTTGATGTGATGTTGTGTCGAGTAGGCTGCGTCTCCACACTGCTCAGATTGAGATGAAGTCGATCTGATTTTTAGTGTAGAGAGTGTCCTGGTGTCTGGTGAAATGGAATCGATGTGGCTGCCTTGTGAATATGCTTGTGTTTGTACAGGGTGCCTGTAATCATGAAGTCGTTGGTGTGCAGAAATCTGCAAACAGTTCTCCATTCTCATTCATTTCACGAACGAGTGCTTCTCTACCCTTAATGAGTTCTGTTCCTGTGTTGTCCGCTCCGAGTTTGTCATTCATGTCACCGATTAGAATGGATTTTGATGTTGCCAAGTGGAGTGGGGTGTTGTCTAGTAGTGAATGGAGTTGTGTGTAGAATTGCTTCTTCTTCTGTTGATGTGGATTATTTATAGTGTATGTGCGTAGTGTTGTATTGTATGATTGTGACTTTCCTTCCTTCCTTCCTTAGTTTTGTGTTGAATGTTGCTGTGATAATGGTGTAGGAGGAGACTGGTTCCCACTGGGTGAGAGAGAGAGAGAGCCTTTGGTGCTGTTTGGTACATGATGATAGGCACTGGGAAAGTCAGTGTGCTCGTGGTTGTTGTCTCGGTGATAATATGGGAGAAGATTATTGACTGTTCAGTTGACAGTTAGGGAGTGCACTTGCATTCCATCTGCAGATTCCTCGAAGATTCCTATCCTATCACTTGCATGCCATACCTCGTCATGTGTTTCTCAATCTGGGTAGCCTTTCTAGGTTGATACATGGTGTGGACATTGTATGTCATCAATCTTACTTTGGCTGTCATCGATGGAGGCGAAGACACATCGGCCGACTGAGTTCGCGAAGTCTTTCACCAGTGAGGTTCATTTCGTCTCCCCGATGGGATTCCAGGGAGGAATAAGTTTGTTTTTAATTTATATAATTTGATTGTTGTTTGAAATTTCTTTAGGGATTGTATTGGTTTTCGGGGGTAGTGGTAGGGGTAGGGTTACTAGCCGTATGCCAAACCTTGCCTCTTCATCCGGGTTTAAGACCGGCTAGTAACTAGTGCACTAGGTAACCAGGCGATGTTTTACATTACATTATACTCTTTTTATTTATGGTAGTAATTGAACTTGTTAGTTCAGGATTTATTAAAATATGAAAAAAGTCACATATCACCTTTGATATATGACCTTGCAGAAGATGAATTCCGCAAGCTTGATCAAGTCATGGTATTGTCAGGTAGGGGGATGATTACGCATATTTTGTCCTGTCTAAGACCTTGACGGTTACATATCCCCTACATACTCGTGTATGTTGGAATTTCTATTGGCTTTACAATCCAGTAGGCACCAGTTCAAAAACAAGTATGATCACAATAGTTCTGTAAATCAATAACTGGAAAGATTCGAAAGTTTAATAACTGATGATGCACTTGAAAATAGTAGGCGGTTAACATAATTTAATAACCTCAAAGACAATTTCCTTTGAGATTTGAAACAGTGGGTGGTTGTGGTGGTGGGTTTGAGACTTTATGGGACACCAACAAAAATGTAACACTTGGGCACTGTGGTAGAACTTAATTCCATATTAGATTTGTTTATTCGATTTGTAACACAGTGATACAGTATTATTCGCTGGATGACGTTTAGAGTATAAATTAAATGTTCCGCTATTCTAGCTGACCCCAATCGGCTAGTTTGACCTATGTACTTGACCTCGCAGTCACTATATAGAATTTGGTAAATTAGATTATTTTCTTTAATTGGTTCTATCGGATCCTTAAGTCGACAAGCTTATCTCTGAGTGAGTTTGTATGTTTAAATAGCACTCTAATTCCAGCTTTGTTGAGGATTCTACGTAACGTTTCTGATGTACTTCCTTATAGGGTAACACAACTGAGGCTGTGAACTTATTTCTGTTTGTATTGTCATTATTATTCGTACTTGTGTTACTGTTATTATTTCGTTTCTTATGTGTTCGTATGAATTTTTTTATAAACTGTAGGGGATGATTATTAACGTTTCTTTTATGAGTTACAATTCTTTGTTTAAGTCCTTACAATGACTGGCGAGTTTATCATCACTAAAAGCCGTATAAACATGTACGTGTTGTTCATTTATGACAGAGAGAGAGAGAGAGAGAGAGAGAAGATATCGATTTTTATGCGGTTTCAATATAACACTATGCCATTGTACAATTTCCTCACGCATCGTATTATCCGCTGACAAACGGCTCTATTTACTTTTCAGCTAACTGATTAAGTCATGATGTGGATTGTTTTTTGGCAGAAAATGATAACCGACCAAAACAAGAAGCATATTTTGTATCTTATCTACCATAATACATAGCAATACAATCCCGTCTACTAGATGAAAGTAAGTAGTATAAGTTTGAATCCGTTACTCAAGTATCTAGAATCAAATCACTCATAAATATGAGATAATAGTCAACAGTTAATACTTTATTGCAAAAGTAATTCTTAGAGTAATAGAATGAAACACCTACTGATTAACTTTTACGATCAGATACACAGAAATGCTTAACATTCAATGGAGGTATTATCGTAATACTTAACTATATGCGATCACTCTAGAAAATGATACTCACCTTTCTTATGAATACTAATAACTCCACATGCAGCATAGCTTTCAATTGATCCAAGGCTTCAGATCCGGAAAACAGAACAATGTACATTGTTAGGGGAATACGTGAATCACCTTAAAAACAAAAGACAAATGATGTCAAAAATATTCCAACTTTTCTGAAGAAGCTATTATTGCTGTGTTCCGACAAAGTTTACTTCACATTTGAAGGCGAATGCCTTCGACAAGTTGACGCTGTAGCTACGGATAGTCCTTTGGACCACTACTAGCTGATATTTCTATTCCATATATAGAAAATCTGGCTGATGATCTCATTGAGAAAGTTTCTCTTTACAGAAGATATGTTGATGACATCATAGTGATTTGTGAAAGGCAAGAGGATATGGCTTTTCTACTAAAAAAAATTAACAACGTACAAACTCACATCAGAATGATTGTGAAGAAGAGGATAATAATCATCTGCCATTCTTATACATACTCCTGAGTCGATTACAAGATGGTCCAATTAGAGGGTCAGTTTACAGAAAGCCCACATAGAAAGGACAGTACCTGAATTTTCACAGATTTTGTTCAATCCAATACAACCGAGGTCTAGTGAAATGCCTATTTAATAGGATCTATCGTATCAGTACATCCGATACGATGGATGACGATATCAAATTACCATATGGCTGTGAAACATGGCCATTTAAGCAAGAGGATATGAGAAAGCTTCAGTTATTTGGCCACTGTTTCCTTCGTGGAATATGCCATGTGTCATGATATCATCAAATAAGTAATGCAGAAGTTAAGTGTGGAGTTTTGGGAGTAGAAGGAGAGTTAGTTGACGCAGATTTGAATCTTCATCGACTCATGTGGCTGAAACATATGTTATGCATGCCTAGTCACCATCTCCTCGATTCACAACGTTGGCTGAAGTTGGCTTCGGCTGCAAAAAGGTTGGGGGGACCAGAAGAAAACATAGTATCGATCGATGGAGTTTTTGACTGTTGATCTGTGCTGAGTAAGGAGGTGCACACTAGCCAGTTGGGGTCCATGTGACAACAGAAAGCAGTTATTGGAGACTCAAGTGATACGGTTGAAAATCGATACCGATGTCTCCGATGTATCCACACATTATTGTCATGTTAATCGTCATAATGACTTCCAATATTCTCTCATTCCTCCTAGCCCTCTTTATGATGACTTTCGATCACTTTTGACTGCTTTCTTCTCTATGTCCTTTTTCCCTTAGCCCATACTGATATGTGATGTGTGGTAAATTGGACCGCTACGCAGTAATGCCAGGCCTCATGTTGATATTGCCTGTTTGTCCAGTTAGTAAAAATGATGAGTGGAATGTGCAGTATATTAGGTCATCGAGGTAGTTAAGAACTACGTTACAGCCCTAGCATATATATATATATATATATATATATATATTCAAACAGTTACAGATATATCGTTTTTCCTGAAGACACTATAATTGATAGCTGGGTAGGTAAAGTTGACTCGAAGAATCTACATCCAATAAGTGTTGGAAAATACATAAATTTGAAACAATTGGTCCCTTAGATGAATTTGAATGATAGAATAAGAAGATGGAGGTTATATGAGAAATGTGTGATGTATTTGTGCAATACATTTAGAACAATTTGGTCACACTTTTACTTGTCAACGCATTTCATATGATTTGGAAGCTCGTGGAGATTTTATTGATTTCAGGTTGGTATTCATCATGGACTGACACCAGTTGGAGAAACATTCGAAGCATGGGTAGCTGTTTCTCCTAGTATAGGATCCCCTTAGCAGTGCGCACCCACAAACTCGCCAGGAATCGGACCCAGGACCTTCAGGTTCCGTGGTCAGCACTTTACTATTGAGCCCTACTGGATCAGAATCCAATGGTCCATATTTTCTTCTTTTGTCACTTCACAATGTAAAGCGACCTCCATCCAATGCCGTCGTTGAGTAACTGTCCTAATTTACGACCTAGTTGGCACCTATGGTTACGACTTCTCGTTGGGACTTTCGGGATCACCTCTTGAAGGATGAAAATACGGAAGGGGAAGGTAAGTAAGTTGATAAACTAAATTCATCATGGGTAGTCCTTTAGGAGAATTGTTAGCTCTGATATTTATATGTCACATGTAGAACTTTTGGCTGAGGAATTAATCAACAGTGTCCCTTTACGTAGGAGATAGCTTTATGTAACAAACATGAGGGTGTGAAAAGTCTTCTAGATAGACTTAACACCATACAAAGGCACATTAGTCTATCGAGCGAAGTAAAAAACAATCATCAGCTTCCTTTTCTTGACATATTATTAACTAGAAGCGAAGATGGGTCAATAAAAGATCAATGTATGGGAAAGCTACGTGGACCGGACAGTATCTAAACTTTCATAGTTTTTGAATACAGTACAAATGAGGTTTCGTAAAATTATTATTGAAAAGAACACAACGTATCTTCACAACAGATATATTGGAAGAAGAAATCTAATTCTTTAAAATAAACCTCATCACTACATAGACGATTACATCACACACCCCTGTGTATACCAATTTACTTGTGTATGCGGTGACATATACATTTAAAGGGGGGGGGAAGGTACTCGAACTATGAAGTCGAGGATGGTGGGGCATATCTTTGAGTGGCTAGAAAAATAATTACATCCGAAAAATCAGATCAATATAGGAGGCAGACAGACATCATCCTCTATTCATAACCACATTATGACAATAGATCACAGAATTGATTTCAAAACAGCCTATAGACGACTGTATATTTAGGTTTATGGAAGCTGTAGCTATATGAAAGTTCAAACCCTGTATGTATATTCAAAAATAATTTGTCTTTTTCCTTAAATCTATCTTGCTAATCTTTATCTTAATTTAATGCCAAAGGATGTGTGAAATGTATTGTTCCTCTTTATTATCCCTAGATTTTCCAAATCTTGTATTTTTTAATTTACTTACCACACGTTATTTCAATCTTTCATATAAATTGACTTGACAAGTAAATATGTGACCAGACTGTTTTAAATGTATTACGCAAATACATCACATATCTCATATAAACTTAGTCTTCTTAACACATTATACATAAAAAGAAACGATAATATGTTACTGCTCTAAGCTGATGGTTGATTTATTATTATTATTTGTCCCTTGGGTTCCTAATGGAACATAAGGCTTCAGTAGCATGTCTCCATTCCACTCGGTTCTCTGCAATCTTCTGAGCCTGGCTTCATGACAGCCTACAAGCTTTCATTTCTTCCTCACACATATCCTCCATGTCACCCTCACCTCGGAAGCCCAACTCGTCGCTTCCCATTTGGGTTTCATTCAAGTGCCTGGCCTGACGCGTGATGTCCCCAAATGGTCTTCTCAGTGCATGCCCAATCCATCTCCACTTCCTTCCAGTGCATATTTGTTGAGCGATAGGTTCTTGGTTAGTTTGTTTCCAGAATTTTCTGCTGCTTATTCTTTCGAGTCATCTGATCTTCAGTAACGAGACAGCGTAGGGGGCAGTTGTTGATGAGTGCCTGTAGTTTGTTGGAAATCCCTTTTGTAACGCATCAACTCTCAACCAAACAGAAGTACTGATTTGACTGAATTAGTGTTGAAAATCCGGATGTTGTTCACGCTTCATGCTGAATGCAAAAGATCGCTACACTGATTTCAGGCTAATGAACGCCTGTCTTGCGCTCTCGATCCTGGCTGGCTTTGACGTCATTGTCCGTGCCGCCGCCCGTAGTTGAAACGGTCCTGCCTAGGTAGGCGAAAGAGGCTACTTCATTTAAGTTTCTTCCGTTGACGGTGATTGGGGCTTGTTGTTGTTGGTGACGGCGTTGGTTGGGTATCATCATCACCTCTGTCTTCTCTACATTCACTTGAAGTCCCGTCTTTTTTTTGCTGCCCTGCCTTTTCTGTCAACTTGTTAGTTTTTGCCTGTAGATCTTCACAGACACAGGTCGTCGACGAAATCTAAATCTTCTAGGGTCTTTTCCCCGATCCGGCGTATTCTCCTCTTCTCGCTCCTCACTGTTTGTTGCATGATCCAGTCGATCACAATCAGGAATATCATGGGTGATAAGTAGACAGCCTTGTTTCACTCTTGTCTTCACTTCAAGGGTACTGGGCTGAATTATATTAATTTCTTATTCAATAAATTTGCTTTGAATCCTGTTACCTTAATAGTCAACAGTTATAAATTTTAATGAAATGTTTAATTTCCAGTTAAGTATGCGTAAAAATGGATTATCGCACAAACCTTGTTGAATAGTTTTCCAGTTTGAACAGTAAATAATATAATTATTTTTCCACACATTGGAACCAATTGAGGTAAAAGGTTTTGTCTAAACATTTAAAAAATGAAAAATGTTAACAATGATAACCAAATAAATCTTCAAACTTTCATTACATAGAAATACTCAAATGTTATGTAACATTTAAAGAGAAGAAGATTATAATGCAGAAAAAACAATACTGATGTAAACGATTTCGCAGGAAACTGATTTCAATTTGATGATATATTCAAATCTACTCACATTGTTGTTTAGATATTTGAGATCTCTATGAGAAGACATGATTTTAGTCCCAGATTTTAATTACTTTAGAGGCTTTCTTTAGAAGTGATTACGAGAAATTGTATATATGACAGTAGATATTCGGAAATCGAAAAGCACCCAGCAAAAAAAGTGAACATTTATACAATGAGTCATAAGTTAGACCTAATGTGTAAGAGCTAGTGTGATACTACCTGAATGTTCAGACCTCATTAGATGGAGGTGGGGAGACGGGGGTAGTTAAAATCATCCGATCCATCAGTTGGAGGTCCAGTGTCTATAGCATTGAGTTACCGCTTCAAGGGTATTCGACTGCAATCATCAACACAGCAGTAACTTATACGCTTATTCCAGTTCCCTCTTCTTTCTTTCAATCTAATATGCCGATGACTAGGTTAGAGAATCATCAAAAATAAGGCAGTATCATTCTGATGAGGTTTCTATATTACCGTTAGTACTTCAATCTCAAATTGTATGAAGACAGTTTACATTTTAGTCATATCGCAAGATAAACAAACTAAAAGATAGTGCACTTCCTCTGAGGCTAAGAATATTGCTGGCTTTCACTTTCATACTAAGTAGCATATGCATTGACGAGATATATATATATAGGCGAGAGAGAGAGAGAGGCATCCGCGAAGGAGCCCATATGCCAACAGAGACTGATCAATTCGGTCTAATCAACGACGGTGTCATACAAGTAATAACACTAAAACTATACCCATCGCACAAGAAGTGGCTACCATGGCTCGGTGTTATAGTGGATAACGCTATGGCGTTTGAAGCGTTCGCTCCCGAGTCCGAGTCCCAGTGGGAACAACACTCACTGGGAGGCAGGTACATCCAGCTGACGAGTCCCAAATAGGGTAAAATGCGCATCCTGGATATAATTAAAAAACATAGGCAATATCGAGGCATCCGCACAGGAGCCCATATGCCAACAGAGACTGATCAATTCGGTCTAATCAACGACAGTGTCATACAAGCAATAATCATATATATATATATATATATATATATATATATATATATATATATATATATTGTAGTGGGTGCTACTGGTGAGATTGGATATAAGTAGTATGTGTTAGGAGGGAGGCACAAACCATAGACAATTACCAGCAATAGATAAATATTCTTCCCAGAGGAACGCAAGAGACAATGTAGGTGTATATAGAACAAATCAAGATCGAAGCAGAAGAGGAAATGAAGCACATTGTCTAAACGACTGTACAATATTTTATCACTAGTGTACAAAATGTCAATAATAAACATTTCATCCTGCATCTCATTTACTATAATATAACCAAGGATAGAACCTTTACGGAGGGGAAATAAACTTTGGTGGTCAACACAAAAAATGATGGATGTATGCATACATATTGTAAACTGTCAGCGTTATCATTCATTGTAAAAACAACCAAATTGAATCTTACCCTTCAATGGGTAACTTATACAACGAACCACCCATTATAACCTTAGGCTGATCACTTTTATGAATAATAGGTTCATGTTGGTTAACCCAGTCAACTTGTGGAAATGATTTATTCACTAAAATATAATCAGATAATTTATGAGTTGATGTTTGGAAGGAAGATGTTGATATTTCAGCAAACTGATGTTCAAGCCAAGATTGTATAGCTAAATGAAAACGACTTTTATTGAATGTTCGCATTTTAAGGCATTTTACAGCACGGTAATTAGAATAGAGATGGAGTGCAGTACAAGAAATGAAGCATATCCATATAAAACTGAAAAATGAAACAGAAAAAAAAATAGATTAGACGTTGAAAGAAAGGAGTAGTCAGTTACATCGCCAACATAAAACTTGAATCAATAAATCAACTTCTCCAGTTAGTAATTGATGTCAGCGGGAGAAAAAAAACTTATTTACTTGTTGCTTTCTTTTTCATCTTGAGTCTAGATCAACCAGTACACTGTAGCTTATGGACAATCGACTTACTTGAATGGTATACATATCACGCCAAAGAAGCACATTCATTATTGATCTTATGAGGAGAGATCTTGAATAAATCAACTTTATGTTTCTACTACCATGAATTGACACATTGACTAGAGTTTTACTGATAATCTAGGAGTAAAACTCGGGCACTGTGGTAGATTGTAATTCTATTTTAGTCTGTTTATTTGATACGTTACACGATGAGACAGTATTATTTACTGCAGATGAGATAAGAGCACAGTGTGGACTAATAATAAAATGATAGGAAAAGATGAAACCTAATTTACCCAAACCAGAAAGACAAGTTCTTAGGGAAACTTCGATATGATAGCATATTAATTGCCAAATCAGATAAAGGCAACTCAGCAGTTGTAATGAACAAATCTGACTACATCTGTTACTATTAATTACCACTATTATGAATAAGGTTAAGAAATTTCACAAGGGATCTGATACGCCGAATGAAGTTGTTTCTAGGTGGGTCAAAATGGTTTTAATTTAGTGCCCAAAAATTAATAATCCCAGTAGAATGTATGGTACTATTAGAATTCATAAGCCAGGTTATTCCATCCGGTCTGTAGTAGATTTTAGAAACAATCCGACTTATAAGTTGTCTAAATATTTAGCAGTGGTACTTGACCCAATAAGAAATTAATCATAATCTCAAATTTTTAACTTTTATGACTTAAAGCATCGATAACAATGAAAAAAATGGTTAGTATTGACATAACTAGCCTTTACAAGAATATACTGAACGACATGGCTCTAGACGCATACTAGGAGAACGATTGTGCCTGACGTCGATAGTTTTTAAGTTCCAAAACAAAATATATAAACAAGTTTAAGGTGTTGTTATGGAACCACCAATATCCCCTATCGTCGCAGATATATTTACGGGCAGTTGGTAACAGATAACCGTTGAAACATTTAGTCCTCGTCCAAAGATACGGTTCCGATATGCAGATGATAAGTATACAGTACTGAAATTGGAACACATCAATAGGTTCTTGGCACATATAAATTCAGCAGTGAATACAATCCAATTTACTTGTGACTTAGAAAGTGATGAAGGTGAACTAGCAATGCTGGATTGCAAGATTAAACAAAAACAAGATGGAAGTTTAGAGACTAGTGTCTATAAGAAACCTTCCAATTCAAATCGCTACTTAGACTTCAAATCATTCCACCCATTTCAGTTAAAGTAGACTTAGTTAAATGCCCAAGTGACAAGGCGGGAAAGCTTACTAGCAGACCAGAAAATCTACGATAAGAAATTAGACACATCAAGGATACCTTGTGTCCCAATAATTACCCACCTAAGTTTATAAATAAATTCATGAGAAGTCGAAAAAAAAATATTAGCAGTAGTAGTAGTAGTGGTAATACAGGTGTTATTAGTAATAATAATCGTGGTAATAATGGTGAGATGGGTGAGAACGAATTCAAAGTCTCTACAAAAAAGGCACCTCAGAAGCGTTACGAAAAATTCTCAATAAGGCTGTTAAGATTAAAGTGACATTTAAACCAACAAACTCGTTTAGAAACAAGCTTTGTAGGATAAGAGATCCTATTGATCCAATTAGACAAAATAATTTAGTTTACTAAATCTCTAGCAATGATTGCCAGGTTAAATATATACGTCAGAGTAGTCGACTAGGGTAGGTAGAATAACCGAGTATAAAAACTGAGCTAAATCAAGATTAGTATATTCTAATAAGATAAGTAATCCAGAAAAAAACTTGGGTTTGCATACAACTGCACACAATCAAACAACAGGATGGAACGGAGTGACAGTATTAAAAGCTAACTTAGTTAAGTGGAGAGAGAGATAGGTAACCGAATCTTTGTTTATCAAATCAACACCACATATATGGGATAGAAATGATTCTGCACCAAGAAATATAGAAAATTCTACTGGCCTCATCACAAAGAACAAGAAACGATTAGAAATATATTTGAATTCTCAAAGTTATAGAGCTACCTGATATACATATGGATAATAAATTATGTCTGAAGAGTTACATATTTAATAATACTGTTTCACGGTCTTACTGATAACACTAACGATCATTTTAGTATCATAGGTATCCTGAGAACTTGCGGTAGATTTGATAACAAATTCTATAAATTGACGATAGTCAATATAACTACAGAAAATCAGCGATGAGATACCTTCAAATTCATTAAAAAATGTGCTTCGTGTCTTAATGAATCGTAGTATTGCTGTTGAAAGTTGATGAATAGTGAATAAGATAAAGTATGAACTCTAAACTGTTGGCACTTTCAAATATACTCTGCGCTAATACGACAGCGAACAGGAAGATGACAGGAATCGGATAAAGAATTGTGTCACAGATTACCAGTTTATTCGTCGACTGTTGACTGGTGATCTGTCAGAACCGAAAACTAACTAGGCATTCAAGCTTGTTTTATTGAACCGTAATGAAATAGTGGTATATAGATATATACAGCTAAACAAGTGTATCCGTTCCGTATCCTTACTGATTAGTTTTCATTATTGATGAAAAAGTAATTCACCTGAACGCGAATAAAAGAAGTATAAGAACTTATATGATATTGATATGCTTGTTATTCTTCACTGTTTTAATGGATCGAATTGTTCGACCTGTATTAGCATATGGACTCCCATGCAGATGCCTCGATAGCGCCTGAGTATTAATTATGGTAATTTACTTGGTTATGGCTAGCAGAAGAATCCAGGACGTGCTTTTCGTCTTATTTGGGACTCGTCAGCTGGATGTACCAGCAACTCAGTGAGTGATGTTGTCCCCACTGAGACTGGAACCCCATACGCATCGCTTCAAACGCCAAGGCGTTATCCAGTAGACCATGAAGGCACGATAGCCACCTATTGTACAACGGGTATTACTATTATTACCATAATTAGTATTGAGGCACTATCGAGGCATCCGCATTGGAGCCCATATACTAATAGAGGTCGAACAATGCGATCCAGCAAAACAACGGAAATGGATTCTTCTGCTAGCCATAACCAAGTAAATTAACTTATATTTTAGTTGATTTATCAGATGTGTCCCACAGTAAATGAGTCTTATTTACTAGATTACATTTCGGATACAACTTATTGTCTATGGTCATATAATAATGTGATGCATCGATTAAAAGGGAACTATATTCAACCATAGTGACCAAGTTTTACTAATATGTAGATAATAACTTACACTTGATTACCCGTCACTAAATAAAGGAGAATAAAGTTTACAAACCATGCCATCAAGTTGGATAAAGTCTCCTAAAAAATAAAAATGAAGTCAACACTAAGCATAGTTAAAAATTACAAGGCGACTCACCATTTTTAGCTGTTAATCATATCTTATACTACGCGCATAAGAAGTGAGACATGAAGTACACTAACTAAGATAGTGAATATTTCAACCTTATTGTTGTTGCTTGTATTACCCGTCGCACAAGAATTGGCTATCATGGCTCAGTGGTCTAGTGGATAATGCTCTGGTGTTTGAAGCGATCGCTCCTGAGTTTGTTCCCAAGTAAGAAAAACATCACTTACTGGGGGACAGGCACATCCAGCTGACGAATCCCAAATAAGACGAAACAAGTGTCCTGGAATCCAGTGCTAGCCACTGTACATCATTAAATTCCAATCTTTACAATAGGAAATAAAAATGAACCAGAGAATTTTGTATATAAGTGAAGATGATTGCTGAGTAGTCCTCACCGTGAACTTTAAACACATAAATTATTCTTACGGGAGTTAAAATATTTCACAGTTCATTACCATGCCTAAGCAATCGGAATATTTGTTTAACAGCCCTAAAAATATATGACTTTATCTATCATTACATTAGGAATCAATTCATGAGGAATTTAAGTAATATACCACGAAATAGATAAGTGGAACATACGTACTTGAATTCCGATAGGGCATTTAACCATAAAACCATTGAATGTTGGTCTCAATGGTGTAGGAAACTATAAACTTCTCGGTTAAGGTCCACGTGAAAACTAAAAAGAGTGGTTGAAGATTATAGACGATATAGATCACAATCGATTACAGTGGCGTAGGTGCACCTACACACTATCTTCATCTTGATCTTTATGACGAATTTCATGATTATTTTATTCCTTCCTATCCTCTGCTTACAAGTTTCGTATGCTGTTAACTACTTTTTTCTGTTATGCAGTAATGCCAGACCCCATGTTCATACTGACTTGCTGGAACAATAGTACAACCGTCTTTTTCAATCTTAAAAACATTATTTCTTGTCTAGTTATCTCACTTTTGAACTATGATGACGTGAATTGATACAATGTTTTTTAAACAGTTTACGTAGTTGCATCTATTTCTGTCTAACCAGTATAAATTCATTCAACAAGTGAGAATACAAAAAAAGGGGAAGCCATCTGAAATCAACAAGCTAAAACCACATGCAGTTGTGTGGATAGCCTATGTATCCTTAGGTAATGGCGACAGGTTATTCAAGTTCAAAATGACAGTATGATATTTCCTACGTGTACATTAACTTTTTTTTTAGAGAGAAAGAAGAAACGAAGCAGTGAATCATTGATCTCGACACAATGTCTTCAACTATTGGATTATTTCATGCATTTAGATGAAGCGGGAAGGGAAAAATGACATCATCAGTTTATTTCACGAATACTCATCAGCTGCATATAGTCTAAAAGTACAATGGTTATTGGAATATAAGGTATTTCAATGTTAGGAAATCAATAATCTTAGGTTGTACAATCAAACCGTTGATAATCCACATATGTAAGAGAATTAATTGCACAGAGGAGTAAGAAGGGAATAATATTGAACCGATAAAGTTATGTAACTAGAATGAAAATGAAACTGGATCAAATCGTATTCACCAAGGGATTGAGAGATTAATCACACTCTCCTTCTGTATCCAAAGATCAGGTTGATAGCGTTTTATTGCAATTGATCCGACGAAGCGCAATAATCTAGACATTTACTGTACGTTTGTTATCTTAAAAACACGCGAAGTTTCAACTTGATGTCCTGTGTCTGCGAGGTGTCTGGCAATTTCATTGGTTAGAATTCTAATTCCTCTCAAGCACAGATTCTTGGGGATATGCTCAGCAGACAGAAGGAACGTTCTCCTCTCATTCCTTCCAATGTACTCACTACCGCAAGTGTATGTGAATTCATAAATACAATTTGAGGTGAAATGAGCAGGGTAATTATCCAATTCAGACTGATTTAACTAGCATATGGTATTGTATACTGATACAAGTCTGGCTGAAGGAAAGCTCCTCAGTGCTTCTATGATTCTTGCGTCTATTAGCTTGAATACTGAATCTCCTTTGAATTTAAGGTGTATAAAAACCTTCTTCGTTTTCACAGTCGGGTGTTGATTTACCTTGATCTCTTCTTTTTTATGCTTCATAATAAATATCTTAGGTATCCATTCCCTTGGAGACGTTTCTCAGTAAAGTTTAGTTCTTTGTCTACCTTGTTCGCAGAACAAGCTTTGTTGTTAAATGCATTGACTACCCCAGGCTTATAGCTGACAGGACAGAAACAATTATAGTTAAGGTATTATTCAGTTCATTTGTCTTTTCTATGGATGGTCTTTTCAATCTTACGATCAATTTTCATTTCATGCTGAGTTTCATAAAGCTGAGCTCATTTTCATGATCATATTCCATCATAAATTTATTGTTAGGATGAGTGAGCCTCGTTGAGGTTGTTAAACAACTGTATTGCCGTTCTGAAAACTTGTACTTCATTACGAAGTATTTGATGACGTGGGGAAGTGTTGTTACTTGTTCCCCTTCCCCACCCCCCCAACACACGAATACACATAAACAAACTTTAATTCTAGATTAGTTTAGTTTACCGTATTCAGTTACTACCTCTGTAGTTATTATCAAACAACTGGTTTCTTTATTGATGGATAGTAGCTATCGTGACTCGGTGGCCTAATGGATAACGCTCTAGCGGTTAAAGCGGTCAGTCCTGAGTTCGAGTCCTCGCAGGAAAAACATGGCTTACAGGGAAGCAGGTGCGTTCAGTTGATGAGTCTCAAATAGGACGAAACGGGCATTCTGAATTCCACTGCTAGCCACCATCTATCGTTAATATATAATTCAAACACAGGCAATATCGAAGCATTCGTGCAGGAGCCCATATGACATTAGAGACAGATTAATTAAGTCTACTCAACGACGGGATAACAAAAACAACAACATTAAAACTAGCTTCTTTGGTTAAAGCTTTGGAAAACAATCTACTTTGAGCACTTTTAACTGTCAATTATACACTAATTTAAAACATTTAAGCACACTTTTCGAAATATAGTTTATGTCAGAACCAAAAATGAAGTAATCTGATTCAGATTACAGGTAGAAAAAAGATAATGAAGATTTTCTGCAATAAGGTACTTTGTTAATGGCTTAAGTTCGGATGAAAAAACATGATCCACAGAAGATTTTAAATGCTTAGATTGTAGAATCAGTTGCTGACCACCAGTTTCAGTTGAACTTCAATCCAGTTGGTTAGCATCCTTTCGAGATCCAGGTTTTTGTTTCAACTTCAGTCCTAACTTAATCACACCAATATCAGTCTCCTAAACTACAACTATCGCAGATAATTTCACCAGCTTCCTTCAATAATGAAAGTTTAACCCATGTAGGAATAGTATAAGTTTGACATGACATGATCAGATATAGGGAACACATGGAGACTTATTACGAAAGTGGATCGTCTACTAAAGCTGAGTCATAAACAATAGATAATAATCACTAGGCAAATTCATATTAATGTAGGGTTTGCTACTGTGATCAAAGTTGAAAGGAACTCTATGCGTAGCAGGAATCGAATCTGAAATATGGCAGCAAAATGTTGACCAAGTCTCTATTCCAATCACTGAATAATCAGAATTTTCCCATAAGTCGAGAGTGAGTTGAAGTAAAAAAAACGATATTGATCGACTGTTGACTTTATTATCCGAGATAAACCTAGTTCAGCAGACAGATCTTAATGTTTTCATTTGATTAGAGGTAGTCAACAGGAAGCCCTAGACCTAAGTTTCGGGCTTGTTGGCACTCTTCAGCAAAGTGTATATGCAATCTACAAGGGATTGACGTTCTCTGTTCGACTCGAGGTCACATCATCCAGAGCTGTAGTCACGGACGTTACCTTTGAGTCATATGGACAGCGACTGATCTCCTGTGGGACTGGATACACATAAATCAATCGATTACTGGAGAGTAATCAATTTCATTAGATCTCTCAAGGTTGACGAGTGCCAACAAGCACGAAACTTAGGTCCAGGAATCCCTGCTGATTGCTTCCAACGTACTAACATTTATCAAAATGTGCCATGATGGTGACTATTTTAGCTTGATTGACACATTACAAAATGATCAATTAGAGTTGTTGTTGAGCTTAGGTCTACAGAATGACCCTTATCCAGAATATGTCTATCGACGGTACTGCAACTTAGTCTTATGCCGCTTACTGATAAATTCTTTGAAAAATGTCCAGAAGTCATCTTAGAAAAGACAACTTCAGAACTTCTCCACTGAATAATACCTAAACTAACAGTAGAATATATCGGTTCGGAGGCTTGTAGGGATTTACAGATTTCAAGTTGGTATTCACCACGGGTTGACATCATTGGGAGAAGTACTGAAAACCCAGGAGGAGTAGGCAGCTATTTCACCCTAGTATGAGACTCCTCAGGAGTGCGCACTCATGACCCCGCTGGGAATCGAACCCACGGCCATTGCTGCGTAAAACCTAAATTAAGTAGTACTGGGGATCCAATCAACGAGGAGATTTATGTTAAAAAATGAAACCAGATTTATCGTCAGTGTAATTCTCTCAAAGATATTGAATCAGAATACAAAAACAAAAACGTACCTGACTTCCATCTTTAGCTGATACATCAGCTAAATTATTATTAATTGCCTGATGTTGTACAATAGCTGCACGTGTTGCACTACCAGCTACACCAACTAGAGACTTTTAAATACAGAGTAATGAGAAAGAGAGGTGAGAGAAGAAAAGCATTTTTCTAGAGAAGTCAAAAATAAAAGAAAAGAAAATGTGAAGAATATTTCAACAACATTATCAAACAAACTCACACATTTCCTGCATCGCATACAACACTTTTCTGGTCAATGTGATGTGATGTGGTGTTTTTTAATCAATGCGTAGGTTATTTTTCTTCAAATTAAAGATTTCCAGTGATTCAGTGACCAATATTTCCATCATAAATCGATGTTTGTTGGACCATCATGAAGGATAAAAGTATGATGAAAAATACGCCAGTATTTCTTAAGTTAACAGGAAGTCAAAAGTAGGAGCCTCAGGCTTTACTCAAGGTATATATATGAATTCAAACAATAGAAAGGATTGAAAAGCCTGGTATGTTTAGGGTGAACTAACTGGGAATAATAATGTCACAATGGAAAAGTAGGCAAATACGTATTGATCAGTCTAAGTTTATGTGACATAGTAAAGTGAAAACTATCTCATGAAATCCAACTTAGCCTAAAGATCTCAGACTGAATAGATTTCAAAACAGAAGATCAAATGGTCAGTATAAGAGTATTCAATCGAATAAAATGTTTACTTATATTACAAAATATGTGATGCAACATAAATGTGAATGAGTAACTTATCATCAGTACAACTCAGTCTGGTTTAGGCTTATCTACTGGATGCACTATACTACCTGACTGCTTAGGCCAAATTAAACAAAACAAGATTTGAGATTAGGAACTGTTGCTTGCAAGTTGAGTGCTTAAGCTAATGAAACACACAACTAGGTCCAAAGTGACTGAAAATTATTAACTAACCAATCTGTTTGATGAACTTTAGCCTAAATCCTGACATCGAATGGGATACATAAACGACATCGTAGAAGGATGAATTCACAAATGTATAGTATAACTTACACCATATATGTATTTTTTTTGAGATGAATGGGTATTTTAATTTAGAAGTAGTATTCATTACGGGAAGACATCAGTTGGGGAACTGTTGAAAACCTGGAAGCACTGGACAGGTGTTTCGCCTCAGTATAGAACTCCTCAGTAGTACGCACCTGTGGGGTCAACTAGTCGGAAGGGAAGTGGATATCAACTGAAGACCATGGATGGTAGTCGCGCTACATCGTGAATTGACAGAAGTCGGAAATTGTGAACCACTGAGCTCTGACCGAGTGGGTGAACGGTTAACGTGTTCGCCGTGAAACCTGAAGGTCCTGGGTTTGATCCCTGGCCGAGTCGTGGGTGCGTACTGCTAAGGAGTCTCAAACTGGAATGAAAGAGCTGTCCAGTGCTCCCAGGCTTTCCAATGGTTCCCCAACTGATGTCAGTCCGCGATGAATACTACCTCTTTACACCATATATGTTATTCTTTTTTTTTGTGAGACGAACTACATGATATATATGATTTTACAGTGATTACGTACGATCACCGAACCCATTCTAAACTGTTACACTTAGTGTTTACATTTAATGGGTAAGAATAGTGAACTTATGTTTCCCGCTTTTCGGTAGCTATCATCAAGGCATATCTGTAATCTAAAAAAAACTCATATCCCCCTTCAAGGGTTTAAATCTATTCACTTGATCCCGAATTCAGAAACTTGAGACTTGACAGTTCACCAGTCATTATCCGGTAACTAATTCGTCTACTGTCTCAGAATATCTGAGAGCTAATGCAAAGTACACGAAAGAATGCTATGGTTTTTAAACTCTTACATATTTCTATCTCAGTGACATTGAATAAAATAATAATGATTGATTGGTTTCTGATGCTTTCACATGACCAAAGTTGCACAGTGAATAATTGAGGATTTCATAAGCTCATGGGGTAAAGAAAATGAACTGATTTTTTTAAACAGTCGTGGCCTACTCAAATGAGAACGGTAACAACTGCTCGTAAAGATAATCTCATAGAATGCACGAATATCGAGATGTTAAGTATTTATACTTCGTGTTGTATTTTTTAGAAAGGATCTGCCAACGACAAAGCATTTTTTGTTCCGGCATAAACTTCGAAATGAGATCACTTACTATTACTTTCCCCAAAATACTATAATTGCATGTCAGTATGAAGTTGAATATGTTTGTTAACAAATTACATATTCTATGGTCAGCAATGAAACTTCTCACAGCTTATTCCTTTTCTAACTACTCAAATATGGTGTTGGTAGATCAACAAGTGTGAACTCTAATATAAGTATCTTGAAGTAAAGAAATGTACTACTGAATTATATGAGTAGTAGGAAATCATTTAGGCTGATCAATATAATTCACTAGTCAGATACAACTGGCGTATGTATAGAATAGCCATTTCTCTTGTTCAGATCAATCTGATCTGACTAGCGAAATCTACAGATAGCTGAGAGTGATTTTTAACAACACATTTCGTTTATAACAAGATATGTAAGCGAACAATATTGTTTTCAACTAGATCCTCTTCAGGCTTCACTCTAATATAAATAACATTTTGAACATATTACATATAAAATATAAACCAGTCAAGACAGGTGACTTGTGAATCAACGATAACAAGAATGTGGATTGTGTACCTTAAAAGGATAAAATTAGTGATAATATGAAGGACAATACGAATACTCACGATTTTATAAAAAAAGCATTTGCATAGGTCAGGGTAAAGACTTGAAGTAGCAACCATAAAGCTACAATTTAATGGAGATATACTAAGTGAGATCCTATCCCATAGACTGTCAAGAACCATTAAAAGAACTTTTTATGCAGTTAATCTATGTCTATCGTTTTCTAGTCGACGACTTGTTTCGTGTCAAGCGAAGGATGTTACCTAGTTTCACCACTCCCACGTGTATTTAGCAGTTTAATTGCTTCCGTGAAGGCAGACAGTTATATAGAGGGTACGACTACACATTTTGACCAACGTTTAATCAAACACCTACCTTCGTAGCTGGGGAAAAGGATAGGTAAAATCTATAAGTAGCTCTATTTTGTCGCATCTAGTTGACAGTGGTCACAGAGTGTATAAGATGAAAGCGTTCAAAATGATTTATAGCAACCTACCGAACCATTCCGATGAAGTTCGAATTCGCCTTTTACACATAGATGAGGTATAGGAATTTAGGGTAGACAGTCCGAAGCTCTGTATTCAGAAAAGATTTGTACAGCTTCTACCACTGCCTTGACCAGGGAAAACTTAATGAGTTACCTGATTGATTTTAAAATGTACTTCTTTATCTTTTCATTTTAATTTTGTTATGGCCACCCCTTTCACATCAGTATTATATTTACTTACATTTAAACTTTATTCATTCACTGCCTTTATCGTCCAGTATTACACAACCTTATTTCCCTTTCTCAATCTCTTACCTACTTCGTCTGTCTGTCTGAACACTTGTTTACGTTGTTGTCATGTCATTCGAAACATTCGTATTATCCTTTATATTATCAACAATTTTATTCAATTTGGAGTTTGTGAGGATTTATTAGTTCCAAGTTAGTATTCATCATCGGTCCCTGGTAAGGTCACGAGTACGCACTGTTAAGGAGTCCCATACTGGGTTGAAACAACTGTCCAGTGTTCACAGGTTTCAAATCTTCCTCCAACTGGTGTCATTCCATAGTGAATAGCAACTTGAAAACTAACTATATTATTTTAAAGTACACAATCCATATTCTTGTTATCGTTGACTCACAAATCACCTGCCTTGATTGGTTGGCATTTTATACATAATATGTTGAAAGTTATTTATATTAGAGTGATGCCTGAAGAGGATTTAATTGGAAATAATACTGTTCCCTTACATATCTTGTTATAATTTTCATAATGGAAATTTTAATATTTTATTCAGCAATATCTTTCAAAACTGAATATGAATTTTTTTTACAAAAAGCAACAAGAATAACCGATTTTGTTTCACAACTGACCTATTTTTGCATCCTCTGCCTAATAGTTTACAATAACCACCTTCGTTAGCCATTAGATGATCTTTAGATCGTCTAATTTTTCTGCAGTCTTCTAAGTTTAAACCTTTCATATTTTGGCATTCACTTGCACAAAAGTTTGACAGAATAACGAAGAAACCCATTGAGTCCTTTCACTGGCATTAGGTCCTTGCAATCTTTTAACTGACAAAATATACACATTTTATCAATAAAAAATCTATCATCACAATGAATGCATTCACGGGAACATAACGAGGTAATCGAAATCCTCCGTGTATTGAACACGGAGTACTCTCGTTTTTCATATATGTTCTTCGCCTTATTCATTTTAAAATCCTGACTTCTTCTATCGAAGTGTTGCATACTGAATCAATACACTATTGTGAAAGTTCCACTTCCATATAGATGTACTATATTCATTAGGGAAGAGAAGTGAAGTTCTGCCTTAACGATGTTGTCTAGAATAACAATAAAAATTTCATCATCGAACCATGAATTATAAAGGAGAAAAAATATAGTGGAAATTTCCTCTCATAAAAAACAAAACAAATAACAACTGACAACACGTTAAGATGAGTGAAATTACCATGAGTATATTGGCACAACAGAGTATCGGTGTAAATAGATCACTAAATAATGGAGATATTAATTGGAGGAATAATGCGATATCATTTAAGATATCAGCGACAAATCTATAGAGAAGGGGGAGAAAAAGACAATTGAATACATCAATAATATAATCCTATAGGTAATAGAACATCAAAAACTACTACAGTTATATTTTGTTAGAGATTTTATTTTGTGACTATGCTACCGGCATCGGCAAGCTGCAGGGTTAAGAGATAGTGCTGTTTCTAGGTTCGACCTTTTCTACTCAACCCCCCCCCCACACACACACATACATATCTGCTTCCCATGGAGAAGGCAACATCAGCGTAACGCTGATAGTCATCCGCCGGAAACACCTTACTGTTGTCATACCCTGTTCAGCCAACAGTTTGATTTCACACTCGAACCCTCCTACATAGCGTCGCAATTTACAGTATATATCCAACTAACCTTTCTGGTATGGTAGGACCGTGAGGGAACAAGAGTTCCAGCCAGCGTAGTTCGCTGGATTACTGTAATATGCAAACCTGAACACCATATCAAAGTAGCAGCTACCAGTCGAGTATATTTTGTTAAGAAGTAAACGAAATAAACTCCCCAGTTGATTTCAAGGTAATTTCATTATGAAGTGTGGTACTGAATAAGCAACGACTGAGTGTTAGGAAAACAAGTCTAACCTTATTCGGTGGAAGACTTGCAAATACAGATTTCATAACTTTCAGAAAGCGCATTCGAGGGGTGAAATAGATTAACTTTTTGATTACTTATGGTACCTAGGTTCATAGGGTTCAATCAAGAGAGATTTATGCATCAGTCGTAAGCGAAACACAACAAACAGGTGAAAATCGAGTGCACTAACCGTGATTATAGTATTCAGGAAATTCTGATTTTCTTATCAAACCACCTGATTATCACGCTATTGCTTATCATCATCAATGTCAACATAGGACCAGGCAACACTGCGTAACTCTCCGAGTTGCCACACCTCATATCAGTACATCAAGTAAAAAGGCAGTGAAGTGCAAGATGAAGTTAAGAAAATTCAGTCGAAAGAAGAAAGAGAAAGGAAGAATGAGAAAATGGTGAGATTCGGTGTAGCGTCATTAACATGACAATAATGTATGTGTATACATTTGCGCCATGACATCCGTTCTCAGCTATATCACCTAGAGTCTCCAACCACTGGTTTCTCTTGTCCCGCGGACCGCCAACCGGCTAGTCTACATCAGCCCACATGGCTCACGCTATTGCTATACCTTACACGCTTTCCGATCACATATTGTGTGGGAAACAATATACACACAAAAAGGAATTATTAATTTAAACACCAAACGAGTTCATGAAACTTAAAAATTCATTGACATCCCACCTTTTGGACAACATCTATTTCCTAATTACTCAGTTCTATAGACATTATATAATTATTTTCCAGGTTTTGACAACTTTGGAGTCATATATTGAATGATTCGATCAAATATCTTATATGTTGTAGACTTGTTATCTTAATGAAGTTTGTAATTAAATGACTGTAGAATACCATTCCTCCTCAGAAGTATTTTAGTTTTAATTATTGTTATAATCTTTCACATCATCAGAGTATTTTCGGGCAACGGTTTACTTTCATATCTTTATTCTTTATAACCCTTAAAACATAAAGCTATTTTTAATCATATGAAACTTTACATTGTTAGTGAGCAATTCAGATTCCAACTACAGAATTCCAAGTTTAGTATGTAAGCAGAACTGATTCACAGATTCATGTAAAAACTGTAATTCGCTAAATCTACAATGTGTAACAAGCTGTCCGATTCAAAGGTTATGCAATTTAACTCAAAAAAAATATACACCTAATCCTATTTTAATAGACATTTTAGTGAGTTCTGAGTATTCAGATAGATACTCTTAACATACACGATTTAGTGAATTATGTCTACTGATGCGTGAGGAAGATCTCATCATTTGTTGAAACAAATACAAGTTATTATCTCGAAGGGGTTGTGGGGATTTAGAAATATTTTCAAGTTAGTATACATTCCTGGTATGAGTCCCATACTGAGACAAAACAGTTGTCCAATGCTTCCAGGTTTCCATTGTTCTTCTAACTGATATCAGTCTACGGTGCATACTAACTTGACAAGTTATTATCATTCTACTAGTTATCGTTGTGTATACACTACAACGATTCACCTTTTTTAAGCATTTTACGAATACGTGCACCTGTATCCTTATTGGTATATTCTTTGAACTAACTGTATGTCTTCATACACTTTTCTCGACTGTATATGAATATAGGAGTGGAACCATATTTCTTATCTGTTTTCTTCTAAATGAAAACAACTTAACAAGTTCAGTTCATTACAAATCATAAGAGCCAATTCACATTTCTATTCACAAAATAATATGAAATAATAAATCTTAACAAATGAAAAGAGCTTTACTTCGTGTAATTTTATTCTCTAATAAGAACAGAAAATACGTAGAGGGTGGGCATCAGATACGGTATGCTGAGGTCACGAACACTTCAAGTCAAAAGATAATGAAAGTGAAAATGAAAGACAATCAGATAAAAAGAAACCTTTTCGCAGTTTTCTAGTTCACTTCACCATTCATATAAGAAAAAGAAAAACATAGTAGGACTATTACCAATACTGATTTCACGTTGCACCTAATAATTATCATTTGATTATCTGATATAGCCGTAGTTTAACGGACTACTATTTATACTGGGTGGTGATTGAAGGTGAAATGAAAATTTGAACCACGATTAGTGTGAATACGATCAACCGATAGTAACGCGTCGTGAATTCACATGGTAGTCGGGTAAAACCCTCCTTGACTCGTTTAAGTGAAATAAAAATCTGGTCACCAGTCACTTCAACCTCGTAGCTAGCTCAGTTGGTACAGCATCAGCCTCGAAATCTGGTGGTTACTGGTTCCAATCCAGACCCCGTTCAAACTTTCATCTCATCTTCAATCATCACACAGCACACCACAGCAGTCCAGTCTGTTTTACTGTATGACTGTGAAACACGGCCATTCAAGGTGGAAGACATGAGAAGACTTCAGGTATTTGACCACCGTTGCCTTCGTAGTGTAGGCCGTATTCCGTGGTGTTACCACATGAGTAACGCAGAAGTCAGGAGTAGAGTTTTAGGGAGAGGAGGCAAGTCGGTTGATGAGGTTGTTAACCTTCATCGACTGAGATACCTGGCTGGGACACGTGTTATGTATGCCTAGTAGCCGATTGCCTCGTCACACAATGTTGGCCGAAGTAAGTCCCGACTGGAACAGGTCCAAGGCGGCCAGACTAAAACATGGTATCAATGTATAAAGTCTCCGACTGTTAGTTTGAGCCATGTAACGGGGCGATGCAGACTAGGTGATTGGGGTGCGCGGGACAAGAGGAACCAGTGGCTGGAGACTCGAGGTGATATGGCTCAGAATTGATATCAGTGGCGCAGATGTATACACACATTATCCTCATCTTAACGACGCTATACCGAATCTCACCATTTTCTCATTCTTCCTTTCTCTCTTTTCGTACTTTATATTCCATTTGATTGAATTTTCTTATCTTCATCTTGCACTTCACTGCCTTTTTACTTGATGTACTGATATGAGGTGTGGCAACTCGGACCGCTACGCAGTATTGCCTGGTCCTAGGTTGATCTGGATGGGTGGATCTAAGAATGTCAACACCAAGTTAAGTTATATTGTCATCAAGGTTTTCATCTGCAAAGTTCGGAGATTGAATAAATCCTCTTCACACAACACAACAAATATAACCAACGCTTACAATTAACAGTTATTATAACTCTACCACTTCAGTGAGTTGGAGAGTAGAAGAGGTGGTTAGAAGTTCTGAGATGACGGTTAGTAAGTTACTTATTGACCAAGTGGTATGATTAACTCATTACAACAATCAACCGATCATTCTCGTCAAATTACAACTTCAGTGACCATCAAAAGACTGAATCACTAGTCATTTGAATGAGTAAATATATATTTAACAATAAGTCACAAAAGAGTATTAATGAAGCAAAACAGTCGCTTATATTCAGACAGACAACAGTCAATCAAACATAATACAAACGGGGCCAGTAGGCAGTTCAATTTTGAACAATAAATGTGTCTGTTTTTATTTCCAGTGTGATGAAACTCAAATGTGAAATTCTTCTTCAAAAAATCGAGACGAAATACACTGAGATAAGAAGATAATATCTTATAATATTGCTCTATTTTCGTATGGGTTCGACTTCAAGTAAATTTGGTCCTTTGGTTTGAGCATCCACACAGTATATCAACCCGAATGCATACACCATCCTACATCATTTGATAACAAAGGTTCTCAGACGCTTAAGTTAAAATTATCGTTACTAGGTATCCAAACTAAGTTTGGATTTGATGGTTTGAAAAAATTTAGGCATTGGGTAGATGATATTCATTATTTTGGTATTTTTATTCCCAAATGAATGTAAAACTAAATAAATTTGTTTCGACTGACGTTTCGCAATTCAGTGCTATTACCAACCTTATCAAGGTTATAAGCAAACCAGAATTTACAATATCCCCTAAATATCATTTGACTATTTGAGATAGCCATAGTTTAGCAGACCAGCATTTATACTGGGTGGTGATTGAAGGTGAAATGAGAATTTGGACCGCTGCCGGATTCGAACCAGTAACCACCGGATCTCCGGTCCGAGGCTCTCAGTTGACCTCATAGCTCAGTTGGTAGAGCATCGAGCCAGAAACCTGGTGGTCTCTGGTTCGAATCCGGCCGTCGTACACATTTTCACTTCACCTTCAATGATCACCCAGTATAAATATCACCTAACCTGACAAGTGTTCTTCTGCATGAGTGGTTCTGCGTTATCACAATTGTAGAATAAAGATGATATCCATATGTAGTGTGTGGCATGTGAATTACAGATTGAGATTTGCATATACACAAGTGTTGATAGTTCTTATCACGTGTATGTTGAATATGTGTGGGTGGGTCGAGACCAGGTCAAACTACGTTTTACTCTCTCATTCCTTCTTATTTAGACAATTCTGATTCCACTTATCATGAAGAGATTCTTCTGTGAGACGTTCTTTACAATTTCTAAAGCCTTTCTGAATAATTTCGATATTGTTAAAATCGATCTTGTGACCCGAAATTAGAGGGTGTAGAGCTGTGGCTGGTGTGTTTTCAAGTTTTTTCAACTCTACTGGATTTCTAGGCGTGTCGAGTAGAAGCTCTTCGGTGTTAATTTTCCCTGATTTTAATTCCACAGGAAGTTTGTTCTACGTATGTTGCATCACAGTATGAGCATTTCATTTTATAAACACAATTAGATCGTGAATCTAGAGGGATCTCGTCCTTCAAATGAACTAAGGTGCTTTGCAATGTGTTTGATGTTCTGTAGAACACTTTGATGAAGTTGTATTGGTTGAGCACTCTTCTAATTTCAACCAATGTGTGTGATCTGTAAGGAATAATTATTGTTGAGGTTCATTGAAAAACGCAAATACCAAAATAATGATTAACATTACTAATTATATGAGGTTCATTTCCTGATGTTGCTCTATTATTGAATTTGTGGTAACCAAAATAATCACCTTCGCGTTGTTACCACCTTACTTACTCCTATTTGGTATTTGTATACAGCTTCCTAATCTCTGTAGTTATCCTATTCTCTCCCATCTATTCTTCTTATGCCTTACATTCACAGTTTCTCAACTGGACTGGTAAAGGTAACCACTGTTCTTGGTTATTGTCTTAAACTTGATTTCCAGCTATTTCACTTCCTCAATTCACTAATTTCACATAGTTTCTGAATTTTAATTTCAGTTTTATTGGATATCATGTATTTACTCACTAGCACCTACCTAAATAATGAAAGTACTAACGACAGCGATTAGTCTAAGCTGTAAATCTTGTTACTTCTAGTTATAAGTTAGCCAACATCTACTTATTCAATGCTTCGATAAGGTGAAAACGATAAGTTAGCTACTTTGGCGCCCTCTAAGAACGTTTATCAATCAATTAACCTGCTTCTGAGGAGTAAGATATGTTGGTCATAATCAGTATTCGCTTTTCAAACATATACTGTACTGGGCGTTGCTGATAAGAATGGACATAAGTAGTATACTTTGAGAGGGTGGCAGGAATCATAGGGAATTACCAGCAATGGGTAAGAATTCTGCCAAGAGCAACACAGGCGTATTACAGTGGATGCCGCTGATAAGAATGTATGAAGAGTGAATCAAGAGAGAAACAGAAGAGGAAACGAAGCACATTTTGCAAATGACAGGTTCAGTGCAAAGTGTACCAAATGTAACGACTACCGTTCCAATTGCTGATAATAAACATTCTTTCCGTCGTGTCTGCCTTCTGTCTCTTCAGTACCAGTCTGGTTCCGAAAAGAAGAAAGAAGAGTATCTCGCAGCTCTATATTATACCATTCGCTCGACTATGATCATCGGATAAATGCAGAAAATCACTTCCATGTCATTATCTACAGAGTTCATGCAAGCCTGATAAAAGGTCTACGCCTGAAATTTCTTTAAATTGTAAAAGTTATAGTAATTAATATTTTGATGCCTAAAGTCTGCATTCAAAAAAAAAGTTTGTCTAATCATTCCAGTTGTAATGGACATGACCTATTACTTCGCCTTCTTTTTATTACTGTTTTATGCATTGAGTAACTTTTTTTCTGATTTCCTAACCCCATGATCAAACCTGAATTTCGTTGAATAATATTTTATGAAGCATTCGTTTTCTGTTACCATATGATAATAATATTTAGGCATGGTTGTACAGCTTGAGTACGATATTGTTGGAAAGAGTGACTCTTCGCTAAACCTCTTTTCTTATATACAAAGTTCATTATGTTTAATAAACATTTGTGTTTCTAGAGGTAATATTCATGACGGACTGATATTAGTTGGAGAACTATTGAAAATCTGGGAGCACTTGACAGCTGTTTCGTCCTAGTTTGAGACTCCTCAGCAGAATGCACCTGAAGGTCCTGAGTTTAGTCCCTAACCGGGTCGTGAGTGTGTACTGCCAAGGAGTCTCATACTAGAATGAAACAACTGTTCAGCACTCCCAGATTTTCAATAGTTCCCCAACTGATGCCAGTCTGTGATGAATACTACCTCTAAATTAAAAATCCTCATTTATCTCTTTACTACAAGAATATGCCCAATAACCGATTGGACAAAATACATGTATGTATTGCTCACCTCCAAAATTTACAATCACAGTCCAAATTACTCCTATCAACAATAATTCATTAACGATAATCCTGGTCACTTGACAAAGTGAATTCTTACCCTTGATAACCAGTAAACACAATTCTGCCAATCATACCTGCACCCTCTAAAAAATTTACCAAAAATACACATTTAATCAATCAATACAATTTAAATCGATAAAAAATTTATTTGATTAGCAATGAAGATTTAAGACACTGACTAGAATCTCAAATCAAAGTGGGTAGAGGGGGAATTAAACATTGATCTGATTGCTTAAAAGATCAGTTTTTAGGCCATATCCCGACCAAAGAAAGAATTTTCGAGATGATAGAGAATATTTATGACTCAAAAGGATGATTTTCATATTGTCTTTTCTGAGCTGGATGATTTAATCATGAAACTTTCATAGTCATTCTAGATAACATTATCAGCACACACTTCAGATGTTTGAGGTGATGATGTTGTTTAGAATGACAGTGACTGCCTGACAAAATCAACATAGAACCTCGAACACAAGTGCCACGCTTCACAATAGTATACAAAGAACAGGTGGATAAAGAAAGATGTCATGGAGTGAATACGTCTGCACCATTGTGACCAGTTTTCAGCCATGTCACCAAGATTCCTCAACTACTGACTCTTCATCTCGAGGACCCCAATGGGGTAGTCTACATCTTCCCATACGACTCAGGTTAACAGTTAGAGACTTCATAGACTGGTGCCACGTCTTGTTTTTAGACATCCTGAACCCTCTTACAACCTAATCCAACTTCCCTTAACATGTTACGTCGGGGTAGGCAGTGGTTCAGTATGTGGAATACCTGTTCAAACTATCTCAGTCAACTAAGTTTCACAACCTTATCAATCAACTTGCTTATCTTGCCTAGTACTTTTCGCCTGACCACAACATTACTCACAAAGTGATTCCACCAAACGCCAGCCATACTATCAGAAAGAAATTCACTTAGACTTGAATACAGAATCATCCACATACAACGTTTAGCATCATACCATTTTTAGACACCTCTGTGTGTACATATCATTTAGAAGTTAATGTGTACAGGATAGTTTGTTCCACTGAAATTCCCGACTCTAATTCATTACACATCTCTTAACTTTAGGCAACTGATGTCAGTTGTTGCCAACTGATAAACTCTTCAAAACGAACTAATATGCAAGACTTAGTTTTATAAACACAACGCATATAAAAAAAAGGTTATATTTCTTAAAAAACAGAAAAACTCAGTAACTAGAAATAGGCATGATAAGTCACTTTAAAGGCCACCTTAGTAACAACTGAAATAACCAATCAGATTTCTCTATTTTGTGAAAATCTGCTTTTCCAGCTAAAATGAAGAAACTTAATTGATTATTTCGATCGCTACTATGATGGACTTTTAAAGTCACCCAGGCGTGATATAAATAAAAATCATCTATATTGAGTTATTTTCTTCACCACATATATTTAGACATTAGGATTTATTTTTGGAAATATATTTTGTCGCTTAAAATCAGTCGTCAATGCTTTATATCGGTATCTATAATGCTCACACATAGAGTTTTGTTTAACCAAGATAATCATATCCATTTTGTAGGGTTCAGTTTAAAAGTGAATTCGTCACAATTTCAACTGCTGATAGTTTCAATAGTATAGCGCCTACCTCAACGTAGCATGTTAGGGGAAGTTAGATTAGTTTGATAGAAGGTTCAAGGTGACCAAAACAAGACGTGGTACCAGTCGATGAAATCCATGAATATTGGTTTGAACTGTGTAAGGAGATGTAGATTGCCGGGTTGGGGTCCCCGAGACGATAGGAATCAGTCATTGAGGACTCTTGGGGACATGGCTAAAAGTCAGTCACAATGGCACAGATGTATTCATTCCTTCACATCTAAAGATAGAATATTTGCACTAAATGTTTTCTTCGAGTTATTTACTCTCTCATAAAACTTCGTCTCTCTTGATATGAGTCTTTTTCTATCCAGTGTTCTTTGTATCCTACTATGAATTGTAGCAACTTGAACCTAAGGAGTAGTGTTTGGGGTTCTATGTTGATTTTGTTTATCTGTCTATCTGCCTGTCGGTCTGTCAATAATCTAAGGAAATTAGGCAAGTAAAGATGATAAGCAATTTTAAAAACCAGAGAATATTAGTGTTCATATATACATATAAGCTAACCACAATACCAATATATATGTGAGTATATACAAAGCACCGGTAGAGCAAAGGAGTACACATACGATTTAGAAAAGCAGAAATATCTTTACTGAAAGCTAAACAAAATATTATAGAACAAAAATCTATTTTGAGGTAAACCATTCAGAAGCCAATGCTATCTCAAGTACACTGGCTAATAGTGTTGGACAACGTCTCCAGTGACATTGAAAATACTACTTACGAATAATTTTGCCATAACACATACCTCAAAGATAATGAGAACAAAAAGAGACATAACAATGGTTGGTACTCACGCTGAAACAGAAATGTAACAAAACAATAGGAAACTTTTGTGGAACTGTAGTCCAATAGTCTATGAAATATACTTCGTTCGAGGGCAAAGAACATTTCTCTAAAGAAAAACAACTTCTGTTATAGTGGTTTTCCTGCTGTATAGTTTTAGATGAATCGGCTATATATGTGAGTTAGAGTAGACTAAGGAATTAGCAACTTATTACTACAAGAAAAAAGCGCAGGAAAATTGAAATCTTACAGTATTGCACTTGATGACTAGCGGAGAATCCAGAATGCGCGTTACGTCGCATTTAGGGCTCTTCAGTTTGATGTCCATCCACTCCACTGGGGCTCGAACGCAATATCCTTCGCTTCAAACACCACAGCCACCTCTTGTGCAGCGAGTATCAGCTATTTTATCGTGCCTCAGTGGCTTAGTAGACATCGCTCCGGGGTTTGAAGTGAAGGATACTAAGTTCGAGCCCCGATGGGAACAACATCACTGACAGAGGTGCAGGCACATTCAGCTGATGAATCCTAAATAATAAGAAACGCGTATCCTGGATTCCTCTGCTAGTCACCAAGATCAATATAACATTACGAATCTCCGGCGGTATTAAGCTATCTGTATAAGAGCTCATTTGACAACAGAGGTCGAACAATTCAGCCATGTATAGCTACTACGACATCTTACAAGTCTAATATTTGCTATCGTTGTATATTTACAACCATACCACATCTATACCCTGAGCTACAGACATTCTAGGATATACGCTACACAAATATTAAAAGCAAACAAATAACAAAACAATTTTGGTCGCAACTGTAAAAAGTTAAGGAAACAAACCTTTAAACATCCATGCTAAACTGGCCCCTAGTATAGTAGCTGATGAATTACCAACACCTACACCAATTAAAACTGCTTGTGAAGCTAGAGCACCTGTAATGCTGCTAGCGAAAGCCTGTTTTTCAAAAAGATAAAATAAATAGTAATTTTTTAAAACATAAAATAACAGAATAGGTGATAGAAAAATGAATATAGTGGAAACATAATATGGAATAATTTAGGCAAAAGCAAGTCTATTCAAACGAGCCTTATTATTATGTGCGATATATCCTAAATAAACGAAAATTGGATAGAATCAACCTGTTCCGAAGGGAATTTATTGATACAATGGTACTGAAACACTTTTAGATATCTTCCTTGTTACTTGCGTAATAAATGATAGCTCCCCATAGTATACCAGGAACTTCAGTCAGAAAATAGGTTACTATTCTATATTATCCATCAGTAAATATGTTAATGAATTCCTCTTGAGATATGTAGTATCAGCCACATGAGAGAGGTTCAAAACGTCCTGATACCTGAGGACTTATTCATCTGGATGAAGATGAGATTTCAACCGACTGCAATCACTTCACCTTCTCTAAAAATGATATTATTTTTATATTATTTATTTATCCCTTCGGTTGCTAGTGGAACATAGGGCTTCAGTAGCACGTCACCACTTCACTCTCTCTTCTCTGCAGTCTTTTCAACCTGGCTCCACAACTGCCCACAAGCTATCATTTCTTCCTCACATCATCTCCTCAGTGTCACCCTCATCCCGGAAGACAACTCGTCGTTTCCCATTTAGATTCCACTTGACGACCTGACGCATAATATCTCCAAACAATCTCAGTGTATGTCCAGTTCAGTCCAATCCATCTCCACTTTCTTCTGCATATTTGTTGGGCGATGGGTTCTTGGTTGGTTGGTTGGTTGGTTCGTTGCCAGGCCAGAGTTCCTCCTTGCTGATTCTCTCTGGCCATCTGATCTTCAGTGTCAGAATCGAGTGAGCATAAGCGGCAGCTGTTGATGTGATGCATATCTGTAGTTTGTTGGAAATCCCTTTCATGACGCGCCAAGTCTCTGAACCATATAGAAGCACTGACTTGACTGGCGTAAGTGTTAAAAATCCGGGTCTTGTTCATTATGCTGAATACAGTGCAGTAGATCTGCATACTGATTTCGGATTAATAAAGGTATGTCTTGCTTTTTCGATCCTGGATTTGGCATCCTCATCTGTGCCGCTGCCTGTAGTTGAAATGATGCTGCCTAGATAGGCGAAAGAGATTACTTCCTTAAGGTTTCTCCCGTTGATGGTGATTGGTGACTATTATTGTTGATATAGTAAACTACTATTAGTCTTATCTGGGTTTTGACTAGAATGCTATGATAATTTCAATCAGCTTGCTTCCAAATGAGCTTACTTTTCACGTTACTATTTTTATATCATAACATTGCTTTGAGTTCAAACAGAAGTACTAAGTGTGTTCAGTGATGCCCTTTACAATTCCCATCTTTAACTTGGTCTTTAGATCCCTATTGGTGAATAATATTGCCAGGATACAAAATGACTTGGACTAAAAACTGACTTTATAGTTAATCTCCTGAAAGGAATCGGTTCACTGTGACAAAAAAAACACAAGAACATAGTACTCCACTAATTTCTAAAAATATTGTGGCTGATAGTGCTACTCTTTATTCTAATCTTTTGTCGCTTAACATTACTTTCTTTGTCTTCTTACAAGTAAATTTATTATTAATGTTGATGCGATTCATAGGATTCACAACAATCATTTATCCAACTAGATAACAATCAATGACAACCTTATTTTGAATGATGTTAAACTGTTTATTTTAACCTAAGACATGAATCAGACTTTTATGAATCACCTGGAGCTCATGACTCAAGTAGTATTGATACTGGGTATGATGATTGGAGGTAAAGTGAAAATTTAGACCCCAGCCAGATTCGAACCAAATCAATAGAGTAATTAAAATTGGAAATATGAAGCAGGTTATTCTTAGGTAAATGGAGTGATTTTTGATGAGTGTTCAGTCATAAACAATAAGTGATTACGTAATAATAAGAAACGAAATGAATATTAATGGAAACAAGAGGGAGGGGAAGAGGTGTAAAAAGTAATACTAGAAGTTGTATCATATTGACGGCCATGGTAATGAAAGTGATCGAACAAACTTCTTTTGAATACAAAGGTTAGGTTTTTAAAGGTGGATTGCAATCCCCTCAGCCTTATGAAGTAAGCGAATGCATGATTCATGTGGTAAATTAATTGGAATATGATGAATAAGTTTGAAAGCTTTTCTAGTATCTACGTGATGTCTCAAGTCAACTGGGTGTGCAAGTATATTATTACTATATTATTTATCCCTTGGGTTCGTAGTGGAATATAGGGCTTCAGTAGCACGTCTGCATTCCACTCTCTTCTCTGCAATTTTTTCAACCTCGCTCCACGACAGCCCACAAGCTCTCATTTCTTCCTCACATCATCTCCTCCATGTCACCCTCGCCTCGGAAGCCCAACTTGCCGTTTCCCATCTGGGTTCCACTCGAGCAACTGGCCTGGCGCGTGATGTCCCCAAATGGTCTTCTCACTGCATGCCCAATACATCTCCACTTCCTTCCAGTGCATATTTGTTGAGCGATAGGTTCTTGGTTGGTTCGTTGCCTGGCCAGAGTCCCCTGCTGCTTATTTTTTCTGGCCATCTGAGCTTCAGTAACGAGCCAGTGTAGGCAGTTGTTGATGAATACCTGTAGTTTTTTGGAAATGCTTTTCGTAACGTGCCAAGTCTCTGAACCATATAGTAGCACTGACTTAACTGAATTGGTGTTGAAAATCCGGATCTTGTTCTTTCAGCTGAGTGCAGTCGATCTCCACACTGGTTTCAGGTTAATGAACGCCTGAGATGTGTAAGTATGGAGCTACTTATTGTTCTAATTTGTCCCTTGCTCAACCATGATATGCGGTGCTCGGAAATTCAACGATCGACCTGCGAGATTGCACGTCTAATGTAACTAGCTCCACTAGAGCAGCTGAATTGATAACTGCACATGGAAGTGTCAGAATCAGGCAATTTGTCTTTACTTCTTGCATCCAAAATCGCGTGGTTGTAGAAGATGAAACATAATTTAGAGGCTGGGAATGCTTTTCGCAAGACTCTTTTTATACGTTGTGTGATGATCTCACTGACAACGTCACTCTTAAATTTCAGCTTCAAGAGATTTGCTTCTTAGGAAGTGTTGACGTTTTTGTCTTAACCCTCGTAACATTCATATGCTTGGTTACACACTTGGCTGGATAGCCATTCCTACTAAGCAGGTCACGGATGGTGACAAGCTCTTCTTCTATGGCAGCATCTGAGCAAATAGCTGTGGCATGAAGATCTAATTGAAAAGGAATATATTTTTTCGCTCAATCAGTTTTTTTTTCTAAATGTCTAAATGGGAATATCCAATGTACTAGTTCAGGTTGTTTCCCAATTTTCCTTGGTCGCACTTCTTTGACTTTTAAAGTCATTTTCCAAATGACGTATTATACAAAGAAGCTATGAGTTCTTAGAATAACTCAGGTTCCACTTCGTAACTTAATAATTTGTATACTTTGCCTATTCTCGTTTATTGTTCTCCATTTATTCTTCTCCATAGTGCTGAGAAAACAAAGTGTAGAACTTTTCCAGAGCTATCGGTAAGCTAGAGATGCATGTCTAACCGTACTCGTGAAGATAACTCAGTAACTATGTGCAGTTTTGTGCATTACGTAATGAGCCTCACCTGGTGTATAATGGGTGATGATATTACCTGACTGTCTAAACTTCATCAGCTTGAAAATTTCTAATCTATAACTGATAGAAATTTGAATGTTGGTGAGACTATCTGAGACAGCCGTGGTTTGGTAGACTGTTTCCATTGACACGGGGTGATAATTGAAGGTTGCTTGGAAGAGGATTCAAACCAGAGGTATCCGGGTTATCGGGTCAATAATCCACTAAGTGAGTTACGACACCGTGTTGCGTAACAGATCCTAAATTCAGTCACTTTAATCCTTTTTTCATTGATACCATACAGGAAAAGAAGGTAATCATGCATTCACTGGAAAGAAGGAATTAATGACTGCCTATTAAATTTCACTCTTTATCAGCCGACTCCCAAAGAAGGGAGACCTAAGTTTTTGCGAGGACTGGCGCGGAATCATGCTGCTATCCACCCCAAGCAAGCCGCATCAAACTGGAGACAATAAAAGATGCGCTGGATTCAGGAAGTACAAATCATGTGCGGACCAAGTTGCAACGCTACGCATCACCATAGAAAAGAGCACATAATGGCAGTCAACTCTCTACCTCAACTTTGAAAAGACTTTCGATAGCGTCGACCGAGAAGTAATTTGGCAGGCAGCTGCTTCAACACAACGGTTTTAGTGCCACAAATCCTCGTCAACCTCATTTAACAGGTATGTGAAGACGCCACATGCCGAGTGATTCACAATGGAAAGTGAAGACAGGAGTAAGACAAGGCTGCCTACTATGACAGATCATCTTCCTGATTGTGGTCGACTGGATCATGCAGCAAACCGTGAGGAGCAAGATGGACATACGCTGACTGAACCGATGAAAAGACCCTAGAAGATTTGGACTCCATTGATGATTTATGTCTGATGTAGAAACTCGAAGATTTACAGGTTAAAACAACAGGTTGAGAGAAGAGGCATGGTAGCGAAAACACGACTTTCTTCAAGGGAACGTAGAGAAGACAGAGGTGATGAAGATACCCAACCAACAACAACAACAGCCACCAATCACCATCAACGAGAGAAACCTTAAGGAAGTAATCTCTTTCGCCTATCTAGGCAGCATCATTTCAACTACAGGCAGCGGCACAGATGAGGATGCCAAATCCAGGATCGAAAAAGCAAGACATACCTTTATTAATCCGAAATCAGTATGCAGATCTACTGCACTGTATTCAGCATAATGAACAAGACCCGGATTTTTAACACTTACGCCAGTCAAGTCAGTGCTTCTATATGGTTCAGAGACTTGGCGCGTCATGAAAGGGATTTCCAACAAACTACAGATATGCATCACATCAACAGCTGCCGCTTATGCTCACTCGATTCTGACACTGAAGATCAGATGGCCAGAGAGAATCAGCAAGGAGGAACTCTGGCCTGGCAACGAACCAACCAACCAACCAACCAAGAACCCATCGCCCAACAAATAAGCAGCAGAAAGTGGAGATGGATTGGACTGAACTGGACATACACTGAGATTGTTTGGAGATATTATGCGTCAGGTCGTCAAGTGGAATCTAAATGGGAAACGACGAGTTGCCTTCCGGGATGAGGGTGACATTGAGGAGATGATGTGAGGAAGAAATGAGAGCTTGTGAACAGTTGTGGAGCCAGGTTGAAAAGACTGCAGAGAAGAGAGAGTGAAGTGGTGACGTGCTACTGAAGCCCTATGTTCCACTAGGAACCTCAGGGACAAAGAATAAATAGTAATAATAATAAAGCCATGTTTTCCCAGCTATCTATAAATACATCTGCCACGATTGGAGATATTGGTGATCCCATTGCTACTCTTTCTGTTTGTCTGTATACTTTGTCCTGAAAATTAAAGACTGTGGAGTTCAGGCGCAGCTGTACAACTAATATGATCTCAAACTGATTTCAACATGCAAACATTTGTATAAATTGACGTTAAAATTGTTCAAGGTCGTAAGCGCAGCTGCTGAGAAACCAAGAAATAAAATGGATCCATGCCATTCTGTTAAAGCTGTTGTTCTCGTTCGATTGAGGTTTTTATAATGTTTAATTTGAGATCTCTTTTCTTTTCATGACTAAATGTATAATATCACATTATTTTGTAAGTGTTAAAAAGAATATCAAAGGGAAACGATGCCTCTTTCCTCTGAATGAAGTGTATGCATCTAAATTGTCAGCATACCAACCAATAGCGTTCGCCGTGAGACCTGAAGGTCCTGAGTTCGATCCCTAACCGAGTTCTGGGTGCGTACTACTGAGGAGTCCCATGCTAGTACGAAACAGCTGTCCAGTTCACCTGGGTTTTCAATGGCTCCCTAACGAATGTCAGTGCACGATGAGTACTACCTCAAAATTAAAATCCCCATCCATCTCAAAAATATATAAACAGGGTCATTCAACTTGTCCCAGTTTTCGAAAATGATAAACGAAAAATGCAAAGTGATCAAATGGATAACTTCAGAAATGTTTCCGAATAAAAATGTAACAGCATACGGAAAAACTAGAATGTGGTAAAATGACTTACTTGTATAGTGTCCCAGATTTGATATTCTAAGTAGTCTTCGCTAACACTAGATGGGTAGCCTACAGGCAGAAAGAACTTCTGAAACCAGGATTACAACATTATCTTTGTGCAGGAACCTTTAAAGTTGGGCATAATAAATCAAAATTAAATATCCAACTGAGAGAAAAACTCTGACTGTCCCTCAGTGTAAAAACATGAGAGATTTCGTTGCCATACGATTCTACAAATACATTTGTCACCATCTGGAAGTAGTGCAATTAACCGTCAGACTTGTTGCTTTTGTGCACGAATTTTCAAAGGAACTATCAAGCTAGATTTCGCTGAAAATGAACAACCTGTAAAAAAGGAAACACATGATAGTGACCAAGAAACTATTTTTCTTCTCTCATTCAATTTCCAATGACAATGTCTACTAAACACAGCAATTCTCATTACAACATTCGTAGGCACCTTGCTATATTATTTAGCAGCAGTACATTCACTTTGTAGCCGTCTCAGCAACCATGAGCACATCTTTGCCATAAGCAGTGAGCCAAACGTATTGTATGAAGGCTAATAATACTATCTGGCTGCCGAGAACTTGTTAAGCAGCGCAAGTTTCGAACCCGAAACTCGTCGAATGAAAGTTGAGTACCTAGACCAATGAGTCACAGCTTCTGCAGGTTTCTTGGTATACTGGAATATTACCAGGTACAATGCAATATATTAGACATATCTCATCAAAAAAGGAATTTCACTACAACATCTAAACAAGAAAAGGTGTTCTAGAAATACTAAGGAGAACGAATTTCATCTTACCGAGCGAATATCTCCTACTATATTTAACGTCAATATCCCTGATGAAATAGGACAGAAGCCGCTAGGGTTTCACTGGACAAATCAACTGCCTCTGTCTAGTCTAGTCTAGTCTTCCAGATTTATTGCAGTGATAATCAAGAATCCACTACATTAATTAAGAATCGAGCCATTTATATATTATTCCTATTTCCAGAATACATGTGAGCTGAATATACGCGACCATATACTAAGATATTTGCACTTATGCCAGACTAAGTTTGGAACATGACTATCTAAAAGCACTCTTCAACTTCCATACAGCTTTTTACCAAGAAAAATACTAGTAACATGCTTCCAATTAAGACTACAAGACTGAGAATACTCATTTATATCCCATCGGTTTCACGCCTATATGGAAATACTTATGGCGTCGGGTATGCGCGAATACTGAAAAGTTAAAAACTATGTGCAATGGATTAACACTTAATATCAATTTGTGAATCATCCGAGTGGATTTGAACATGTTTTCTGAAATATAAAACTCTAAAATATCGTATTTAGCACGTATCTTGTGCGAGGAAGTGTTAGGAGTGAAAATTAGAAATGAGTGCGCGCGTTGAAAAAAGGAAGTGAATTTTTTCACGCTTTTAACATTTTTGGCTTTTGTTGTGTAATCCATATTGAAAGCTTTCTTGAAAACCTTAATTTGAAAGAATTCAATCAGCGTTTGAAGTTTTATCATTTTGAGGGTTAAGGTTGATTTTTGTATGAACGCTTTTGCTGTGTCATCGCGACTAAAGTCTTTCGGTCCTAATTTTGACTGAATACTTCAGTTCGTACACGGTTCTAGTGGGAACTTTAACTGAATTGTGAATAACATGGTTAGCGAAAATAATGTTTGCGGTCGACTCAGCTGCGAATCCCCAGTTGATGAAGATCTACAATGTGATGCATATGGATGTTGGTTCCACAAAGTTTGCACCAGATTGACACCAACCATGTACAAGCTCTGCAACGAATTAACTTTTCCCTGGTTATATGACTTCGACTACAAGCATTTGTCAGCCCTAATTCAGGAAGCTGTAGAAATGTTACTGGTCACAAAACACTCATGTGGTAATGATAGCTGTCGTTCCGATGCAGCAACAGATGATGACACTGCAAGCGTTATGGCTAATACATCTGACATGAGACCTAAATATGGACTGTGGAATACTAGAGATCTAATCGGTGAGATTACACCAATTCCGATGCCTACTCGATGTAAAAGGAAACCAAGAGTGACTGGTACACCAGTGGTGTTAGCAACGTTGACACCACGCAGTTGATTAACGAAACTAAATGGATTTCTCCAAGAAAGAATTCAAAGAAACCTCCAAGCTAGTAAGCTTATGAAACCTGTCGAGAAAGTTTCAAAGGCCGTCAACACGTGGTCCAGGGATTCCTCACCACCCTCCAGCGTGAACTTCTGGCATTTTGAGGAGTCAGCGGAGAAAGACTCTTCGATACGTTATAGGCATAATCTGAAATTGGTCTAGTCGGCCATCAGACATATTTTACCTGAGACGCCTTAAGGAGTACACATTTCCAAAGTAGTTGGGTTAGTTAGAAAAAAAGGATGAAAAACAAGATGACAGGAGGATTTTGAAAGTTGTTATGCTCTTGAGTAACACATCCAAACTACGAAGTTTGGACATCCGCATCCGACCTGGCTGGCCTTTCGAGGACAGGATATAAAGAAAAGAAGCTCTCGCTGAACTTAAACCTCGATAAAGTAATGGAGAAAACGATCTTAAAGTTGTGAGTTTTCGGGTTGTGAGGACTTAGAAACGAAGTCTTCCAAGGCCCATATGGGTGGGCCGTTGGACTCTTCAAACATAGTGAACGTAATCTACACCAATTCTCGCAGCATTAGAAATAAAGTGATACATCTCGAGACTCTAGTCTGTGAACTAAGTCCTGATGCTGTAGCCCTTGCTGAAACCTAGCTAAAAGAGAATTTAGATTTTAGAGCACTTCAAAAAGGGTATTACTGTGTAAGCACAGATAAGATTGTGGGTCTTAAAGGTGGTGGCATACTACTCTATGTCCGTGATGACATCCACACACGATCGGTCACTTCTGAAGCACATGAATGCGCCACCTACGAAGTGGCCAGTTGTGAGCTGAAGTCAAAGAAAGTTTCCGGTGCAACTGAGGTAACTTACCGTAGTCCATCTTCCCTTGTAAATGGTTTTGTGCAAACCCATATACGTAACTGGAGTAGGAGCGATAGATGCCTAGTAGTTGAGGATTCGAATGCTCCACACATAAACCAGATGGAGCTTACAGTCTCAGTCTCGGACAATTCCTTCGAAAACGATTTACTTTTAACGGTACTAGAATCTGCTTTAGTTCAAAACGTAACTTGTGCAACAAGATATGGTTTTGAACATATTATTATATTATTATTATTAGTCCCTTGGGTTCCTAGTGGAACATAGGGCTTCAGTAGCACGCCTCCAGTGACCTCTGTTCTCTGAGATCTTTTGAACCTGGTCCCACGACAGCCCACAAGCTCTCATTTCCTCCTCGCACGACCTCCTCCATGTCACCCTTGGACGTCCAACTCGTCGCTTCCCATGGGGATTCCACTCGAGGGCCTGGCGCGTGATGTCCTCAGTCGGCCGTCTCAGTGCATGGCCAATCCATCTCCACTTCTTGGTTTTGAACATAAGCGATCGTTATTAGATTTGGTTTTAATCCATCAAAAAGATATTGTGGATCTGCGACATTTCTCTCTGTTAGCTAACAGAGACCATGTAGTGCTAACTCTCGGTTTTCGAACGTGAGTTTGGTTATGACAATACTTCCCCCATATCTAATGTTTGGCGCGCAGACATTTCAATCATAAGGGATTGCACAGTCAGTAACGACTAGACCATCGACAAGGACTCATCAGTCGAGAACACATAGAATAGGTTTAGAACACTAGTTGAAGAGGTAACGACGTCATTTTTTCCATGGTCGAATCCATGAAGATCAACACATCACCCTCCGTGGTTTAATAAAAACACTCACAAACTATTAGGGCAGATGAAATATTTATGGGACTTGTTTATAGGAACTGGACTGGAAACATTTTAAACTGGGTACTTAAAATCCGTAGTCTCTGCAAAACTTTGATTACACAATCTCAAATGTCCCACGAGAAACGGCTTATAAGAGATCGCAGAAACTGTTCTAAAAGACTGTTAGCATTCATAAAAACAAGGACTAAAAGAAAATGTGGAATTCCCTCTCTGGAGATGGATGAAATGTCTGATAGTCTGAAGGAATCTAATCCGTCCAAAGCTGAATGTCTATCAGATTACTCTAGTGAAGTCTTCTCTGTAGATCATGATGATAAAGTGCTCAATATTGGTGTCAGCACTGCCCTACCGATGGAGTGTTCATAACGAATGAAAGTCTTACGGTTTGTAATTAATCTCTAGCCTGGAAAATCCCTGGATCCCGATAAGTTGCTCTCCAGACTGCTTTCTTTGCTAGCGGAAATTATTGTCGAGCCAGTCACTGATCTTTCCAATATGTCCCTATCTCAGACTCTCCTCCCTAGAGACTAGAAAGAAGACATAATCAAGCCGGATTTTAAGGCCAGTATTCGCCAGTTGGTGGCTAACTATCGCCCTGTGAGTCTAACAAGCATAGTTATTAAAGTTTTAGAAAAAACAATTCGTGATAAGGTACTTAAACATGTTGAATCAGTCTTTCGCCACCACAGCAATGCGGTTTTCGTACTAGGCACTCCTGCTTAACAAACCTCCTCATCGAGAGAGAGGAATGGGTTGCACCCCGTGATTGCAAGCTGCCAATAGATGCTGTGTTTGTAGACTTCAGTAAGGCATTCGATAAAGTGTCTTATGTGAAACTACCAGAAAATCTCTCCCGTCTCTGGATTAAGAACTTTCGGTACGAGAAAAAGGTAAAGAGTGAGGGTTAATGGGATACTTTTTGGGTGGGGACCTGTGATCAGTGGGGTTTCTCAAAGGATAATCCTAGGTGACCAACATTTCTTGTTATATGTCAACGAATCACCACAAATGCTCAACTTTTCGGTGCTGCTATTCACCGGTGACGCAAAGGTTTGGAGAGTCATACGTAGTGATGCTGATAGGTATGAACTTCACACGAATTTGAATGGACTGGCAGGTTGATCCAAACGTTGGTACCCGGAAATCGACTCTAGTAAAAGTGAGATAATGCAAATTGGTCATAGTAGTTGTTTCCTGTATTCCGTTGATAGGACACCACGGCTATTAGCCAATGAACCGAAAGACTTTAATGTCACCATAAGTCACGACCTGAAAACTTTGGCATACTGTAATGCAGCTATAGCAAGGGGTTTTCGTATATTATAGTCAATCTGCATAGATTTCAAGTTTTGGTCAGGATAGCTTTAGAATACTCTATTTTTCTTACGTTAGGCCTCACTTGGAATACTACATTTAGGCGGCCTCTATCGTCAAACAACAAATCTGAATCTGAATTTTTGTAATTCCCATTAAATTTGTTGTGATAGGTATGTACATGAAATAGTTTCTTCCGATTGACGCCAAACGGCATGCTAAAAATCCTCTGCGTTTTTCCATAATATCCTGCAGAATGAAGCCACTATTACTAAAAAAGACTTCACAAGCAACTACTTCATAGTAAGTACATGCTGATAATAAAACTGTTTACATGGACTTCTCAGGAAAGTACTATGTAATGCCCGCATAAGAATCACCATTAAATTAAGACCGTAAATACCAGAAGGAAAACAAAAGTGAAGTACTCATTAGCTCAATAAGTAGTTCCTAACATACTTTAATGTGAACGACCTAGACCAGTCAAAACTCCGCCACGTGTCCAATATCCAATATCCAATATTGATAGTGCGAGCGTAGAAAACTGGTAGTTTTTGATCTCTCGCGTCTAGTTCTTAGGGCTTGGTTCCAGTTGTTCGGTTTACTCCTGCAGTGGACGAGGAAATCCCCTCTGCTTTCTTGCTTTTAGCTTCGGTGAGGTGGATGTTTTGTGGGTTAGTAGGTTGTAATTTGTAGAGTGATTAGGGAGCTACGGGTTGCTGGGAAGTTTAGAGAACAACCGTGACTCCTGTCTGTGTAGGTACCTGAAAGAGAATAGTAAGGTAGTGGTAAAGGAATGAAGAGAGAAATAAGGAAGAGTAAAAAATAAAAAATAAATAAATAAATAAATAAAAATAATAGTAATAATAATGTAGGGAAGAGGAAAGGGAAGGAGAAGAAAAGAAGGGGTGAAGAGAGAAATGAGAACGAAAGAAAAGTATTTGGGAATTGCCCGAATGGTCGCGTGGGTTTGGTTCCTACAGAAGAATTAGTAGGTAATGTGGGTGTATTAAGGAGAGAGATAGTGAGTGGTAGTTAGGAGGGAGTTGGGGGTACTGAGGTTGGTGACTACCTGAGTACGTCCGTGGTAGTCCATGCGAGGTGACATAACTGTCTAATCGCCTCTTGAAAGAGTCGATTGAAGGAGCTATAACGATGTGTCGCGGTAAGGCATTCCATAAAGCACATACTCTTAGGGAGAAAAATTTGGACCTGAGTGTGGTGTTGGCTCTCTGGTGTGCTATCTTAATGGGGTTTCCTCGTGAAGATCGTTCAGTTGCAGGCAAAATTGATTTGTTTGCATGGTCTGCCTGATGGGCGATCTTGTATGCCATAATGAGGTCACCCCTTTTCCTGCGATAACCCAAGGTAAATAGGTTGAGGTGTTTAAGTCTTTCAGGATACGTCTTTCCCCTTAGCCCCACAACTGATTTTGTTGCAGTTCTTTGTATTCTTTCAAGGAGATTAGAGTCTCTCTTGAGTGTTGGAGGAGCCACCGTATTGAAGACCTCTAGGTGCGGCCGCACGTAGGATTTGAAAATGGTGAGGAAGAGTTCGGGAGTGAGGGCGCCAAGCTGTCTACGCAGAAAGTGTAGAATGGCGTTCGCTCTGGTTGTCATACCTTTGTAGTTGGAGCTGGTGTCCAAGGTGTCGGAGAAGTTGAGCCCCAAATCTTTCTCCATGGACACTCTGGTGATAGCACGGTTGCTCAACATGTACTGGAAGTCGGTCGTACTTGCCTCATTTTTACTGATGTGCATTACTTTGCACTTTTCCAGTTGAAGCTCAGGCCATTTTCCGACGACCAGAGCTCGAGTTGCTGCAAGTCCTTTTGTAGTGCTGCACAGTCGGCTTCTTCGTTTACCACCCTCCAAATTTTTATGTCGTCAGCGAAGAGGAGGATGGGTGAGGATATTTTGTCTGGCAGATCGTTGACAAACAGGAGGAACAGAAGCGGTCCTAGGATTGCTCCTTGGGATACTCCTGACGTCGACGGTCTCCACTCCGACCTTATTCTGTTCACTTTAGTGCAGAACTGCCTCCCTTCCAGGTACTCCTTGAACCAAGAGAGTAGGGGTCCACTTATACCAGCTGACATGATCTTGTGAAGCAGTACTGTGGGTGGGACACTGTCAAATGCTTTGGCTAGGTCGAGAAATACAACATGTACAGGTTTTCTATTATCCCAGCTTTGTGTCCAGTCGTCCCAGGCAGTTAGTAAGTTGGTGGCACATGAGCGACCACTACGAAAGCCGTGCTGAGCAGTGTGGACAGTGTTTTCTCTATTGAGGAATTCCCAGATGGTGTCAGCTACCAGGCTTTCCAACACTTTCGACACAATAGGGAGTAGGGCAATCGGCCTGTAGCTGCCAGGGCTTTTTCTGTCTCCTCCCTTGAAGATGGGTGACAAGATGGCACTCTTCCATTCTTTAGGGAGTTTGCACGAGTCTATTGAGTGCTCAAAGAGGTTGCGAAGTGGTTTGGTAAGCACCTCGGCGCAGTTTTTCAGAACCACTGGTTTCAGGTTATCGCAGCCAGGGGACTTGCCCGGACGTAGCCTAGATAGCTTCTCGAACACCTTTTTCTCTGTAATAGAGACGTGACAGAGGTATTCGTTATTTGCGACCTGGTCGGTGTCGTGGCGAGTCGGTGTGGATCTTGTGTCAGTGCTGAGTTGGGCTTGGAAGTGTGAGCTCAAAAGCTCGGCAATCTCTAGACTGCTTAGCACACTCCCGTCATGGCCTGTGACAAGATTCACTCCCTTACTGGTCGACTTTCTTCTTGACATGAAGCGGTACAGGTTTTTGGGGTTGCTTTGTAACCTCGCTGCCAAGTTTGTTTGGTAGGAAAATCTGTCGTTACGCACTCTAATGTTACAGAGATTGCGAATCCTTTTGTAGTTCAAGAAGTCAGACTCCCTGCGTGATGTAAGCCACTTGAACCAAGCCTGCTTCTTGCTCCGGATAAGCCTCTCTGTCCCACGCTTTAACCATGAGGTTCTCATTGATTGTCTGTGTGTTACTTCTGGTACACTGTGACTGATGGCCCCAGTGATTATTTTCTTCACCTCCAACCAGTGTTCATCTATTGTGAGATGAGTCCAGTCCACTGGCCATGATGCATTCATGAGGTAGTCCCTCATGGTCTCATAGTTGGCCTTGCTGTAGCAAGGGAAGGTGTTGGGCGTCTCCAGTTGCAGAGCCTCCCTAGTTATCATGGAGAAGGTGATTACAGCGTGGTCACTGAGGCCAAGGGGAGGTTGGATGCAAACATCCTCAATGAGAAGTTCATCGTTCGTCAGAACGTAGTCAAGGCGCGATGCGTTTCCGTTAGGTCCCCAGCGTGTAGCATCACCCACTTTCTCTGAGAGGCCAGCAGTCTTAATTGCATCCTTCAGCTTCTGATTGAAGGATCTGATGCGTCTCCCTTCCGTCTCGAAGAGGATGGACGGGGTGTTGAAGTCGCCGGCAATGACTACGGAATCGTAATTTGCAGAGGAAGTCGTTAAGATAGCCTTGATGATCATTTCCTTATGTGTAGGGGAGCAGGTGGGGGACCGATATATGACTCCGAGCAGGTATTTGGTACTGTGGAGAGTGAAGTAGCACCATAGGGACTCTGGGAGCTGGGTTAAGGCCGTATCGCTAACCATCCTTGCCTTTAAACAAGAGTTTACGTAGATAGCCACTCCTCCTCCTGCTCTATGTTCCCTGTCCCTGCGGAAGAGTTCCATGCCAGTAACATGCATCTCTTCGTCGGAGATGTCTGGCGAGAGCCAGGATTCGGTGATGAATATGATGTCGGAGTGCTGATGTGCACGCAGCGTCCTCATTTCTGCTACCTTCCCTCTTAGCCCCCTAACGTTGCTGTACATACATATTAGAGTGTGCCTGGTGAGGGGGAGGTCTGGTTGTGTATTTTCGCAGGATGACAGCTTATGTGGTTGGGTCTACCCTCGCCAGTCCTCATAGGACTGGCATTGTTCCGTTTTTTGGTGTTTTGTTATTAACTTGGGTGGGGGCTGTGGCAGTGGTGGCTTCTTTACTTGATGTATCTAACTCACTGGTCAGCGCCTGTGTGACGACCACTGACTCCAAGGTCTTGGTGGTTGTCGTCTCTCCTCTTGCCTTGTGGGTCTAGGCTTACTTTCACATATACGTATTGAGCCACCCATGCGATCCTTCGCATTATACCATGCCTGTAGAACGTCTGTGAGGGAGGCATATGAGTCGAACTGGACGGCGAGTAGTCTGGGATTGGGTATGGTCTTCAGGTGCGCTGGCCTTGGCAGTCTACTGACGCTGTTGGCCGGTATACTGTTGAGACCAACTTTGGTTGAGAGCCATTGCCATTGTTGGACGTCGTGAAAGTACCGATCTTTGACCGAGCGGTCACTTGGCAATTCTGGAATCCCATGTACAACTATAGTGTTGTTTCTGTTGGGATTTCCAACCGCTGACTTTCTCTCCTCCTCTCTTATTGACCATGGCTTGTCAGGCCTGGCCCGAATTTTACAGGCATTAACAACGTCCGGTTGTCGCGAGAGGAGGAGTGTGTCTTCAGCCTCTTTGGTAGTATTTAGGGACACACGTAAAGGGGGTGGCTTATCTCGGGGTGCACGGCTTCCTCGAGAAAGGCGACATAAAGTTGCAGGGAGGGGAGGGAGTCCCAGCATCTGACAGTAGTCGGTCCACATTCGGCTGTCAAACCGTTCCCTCTCGACCAACAATGAGTCTGTCGATACATCGACGTTGAACAAAATGATCGAGTTGGTCCTCCTGTGACCTGGGTTCGTTGTGGGTGGCACGCCCGACTTCCCAATGGGTTTGAGTAATTCCACTGGTTGTTTCTCAGTCACGGTGTGTAGGGTGTTTGGAATGGGTTTCGTAGAGGCTTTAGCGGTCGATGTCTTTGGCCATACGCTTGACGTCCCCTGGGGCCGGGTAGGAGGTATGGAGACTTGACCTAATATGGTCCCCACGCGAGGTGGCGTGCCGGCAGCTGGAGCTCTAGGTCTGTTTCCAGGTCTCTCTGTGTTATCTTTTGGTGTTAACCCTACTTTATTCGAGGGTGCTGGTAGCTTTTGCGTGGCGGAGAGCATCTCCTTCAGGCTTTCTGTGCGGAGTGCGGGCATTTTCCTGCACTCTGGACAGATGTACCAGAACCACTTGCATGGTTGTCTCTTCATCAGCTTATAGTATTGTCGGGGGACTTTGGTGTCGCAGTGGCAATGCGCCCATCGTTGACATAGGTTGCATGCAAATGCCTCATCGACTACCGAAACAACTTTGGTGCAAACACTGCAGCCATCGGGTGTCGTAATACAGCATTCCTTGCATGAATTAGGTGCTACGGATTGTGGCGAACTGCCTGTGGCTGCCTTGTGCTGAAGCCTTTTACGTCGTCTTCTATTTCCAGGCATGGTATGATCCTTGCTCAAGATAGGACTAGTTTGTGACGGGCTAGTGCTACTCTGTGTCACCTGTCTGATGGCTACTGGAATTCTAGAAAC